CAATCAGTGTAGCAGATGATAATAACAGATATAAATGAGCCGCGTCACGACAAAACCAACATAATACGTTTGCGACCAGCATGGACCCAGACCAGCCGGCGCATCCGCTCAGTCTGATCAGGATCCATTGCTTGTTCGCTTACCAACCCTATTACAACTAGAGAAACTTACAGCGAACAGCATGGATCCTGATCAGACTGCGCTGATGCGCAGGCTGGTCTATCCATGCTGGTCGCAAACCCATTATGTTGGTTTTGTCGTGACGCGGCTCAAATATAAAACACCCTTAAAGCTGCCGTGTACTACTTATTTGCATATATAATGTTATCTCCTCCGACTTTATCTATTAAAGGATATTCATAATTTTATTATCTTTTTGATAGAACTCTGAAAATTTTACCCCAGATCATTAAGAGGTACTTGCATTTTTGGCTGTTGGCTGCAATCTAATGAATTATTCTTGCATTTTATTATTATTTTTTATCATTATATTACATCATTATCATTATCATCATTATTATCATTATTTTTATTATTTTGTTTTATTATTATTATTATCATTATAATAATAATAATAATAATAATAATAATAATAATAATAATAATAATAATAATAATAATAATAATAATAATATTATTTATTATATTATTATTATTATTATTATTATTATTATTATCTTTTTAGTGTGTAAACTATTTAAATTATTGTGAATTATAATGAATATATATTATGATAATATAAACATGAACTGTTCATACTGACCGTATAACCTGTCAAAATCGTTTCAGCTGATTTAAAAAAGATGCTTTCTAAGTTCTCTCATAAAAAGATCCAGGAAAGATTGCGCAAAGTGTTTGCTTAAATGAAAGAATGTACTGATTTGAAGGAAAGTCAAATGTATGTCATTTAGGAAATTTGGTTTAAACTACAAAATGATTCTGGTAATTCCTTATAAAATATGAAAATGAGCTTTTTTATGTTTTTAGCCCCAACAACTACAACAACGGCTGCTCCAACAACTACCACAACGGCTGCTCCAACAACAACTACCACAACTGCACCTCCAACAACAACTTCAACAACAGCTGCTCCAACAACAAGTACCACAACGGCTGCCCTCTAACAACAACTACTACAACAGCTGCTCCAACAACAACTACCACAACTGCGGCTCCAACAACAACTACCACAACGGCTGCTCCAACAACAACTACTACAACTGCTGCTCCTACAACTACTACAACAACAGCAGCTCCAACAACTACCACAACTGCACCTCCAACAACAACTACCACCATGGCTGCTCCAACAACAACAACCACAACGGCAGCTCCTACAACAACTACCACAACGGCTGCTCCAACAACAACTACCACAACTGCAGCTCCAACAACAACTACCACAACTGCAGCTCCAACAACAACTACCACAACGGCTGCTCCAACAACAACTACCACAACGGCTGCTCCAACAACAACTACCACAACTGCAGCTCCAACAACTACCACAACTGCACCTCCAACAACAACTACCACAACGGCTGCTCCAACAACTACCACAACGGCTGCTCCAACAACAACAACTACAACAACTGCAGCTCCTACAACAACTACCACAACGGCTGCTCCAACAACAACTTCCACAACGGCTGCTCCAACAACAACTACCACAACGGCTGCTCAACACAACTACCACGACGGCTGCTCCTACAACAACTACCACAACGGCTGCTCCAACAACAACTACCACAACGGCTGCTCCAACAACAACTAACCACAACTGCAGCTCCAACAACTACCACAACGGCAGCTCCAACAACAACTACCACAACGGCTGCTCCAACAACTACCACAACGGCTGCTCCAACAACAACTACCACAACGGCTGCTCCAACAACAACTACCACAACGGCTGCTCCAACAAACAACTACCACAACTGCAGCTCCAAACAACTGCCACAACTGCAGCTCCAACAACAACAACCACAACAGCTGCTCCAACAACAACTTCCACAACTGCAGCTCCCAATAACTACCACAACTGCAGCTCCAACAACAACAACCACAACAGCTGCTCCAACAACAACTTCCGTAACTGCAGCTCCAACAACTACCACAACGGCAGCTCCAACAACTACCACAACGGCTGCTCCAACAACAACTACCACAACTGCAGCTCCAACAACTACCACTACGGCTGTTCCGACAACTACCACAACTGCAAAGCTCCAACAACAACTACCACAACGGCTGCTTCCAACAACAACTACCACAACGGCAGCTCAACAACTACCACAACTGCACTCCAACAACAACTACCACAACGGCTGCTCCAACAACTACTACCACAACGGCTGCCCCAACAACTACTACCACAACGGCTGCTCCAACAACAACTACCACAACGGCTGCTCCAACAACAACTTCCACAACTGCAGCTCCAACAACTACCACAACTGCAGCTCCAACAACAACTACCACAACGGCTGCTCCAACAACAACTACCACAACTGCAGCTCCAACAACTACCACAACTGCAGCTCCAACAACAACAACCACAACAGCTGCTCCAACAACAACTTCTACAACTGAAGCTCCAACAACTACCACAACTGCAGCTCCAGCAACAACAGCCACAACAGCAGCTCCAACAACAACTACCACGACGGCTGCTCCAACAACAACTACCACTACGGCTGCTCCAACAACTACCACAACGGCTGCTCCAACAACTTCCACAACGGCAGCTCCAAACAACTACTACCACAACAGCTGCTCCAACAACAACTACCACAACGGCTGCTCCAACAACTACCACAACGGCTGCTTTAACAACAACTACCACTACGGCTGCTCCAACAACTACCACAACGGCAGCTCCAACAACTACCACAACTGCTGCTCCAACAACAACTACCACAACTGCTGCTCCAACAACTCTACCACCACGGCTGCTCCAACAACAACTACCACAACGGCTGCTCCAACAACTACCACAACGGCTGCTCCGACAACAACTTCCACAACAGCAGCTCCAATAACAACTACCACAACGGAAGCTCAAACAGCAACCACAACTGCAGCTCCAACAACAACTACCACAACTGCACCTCCAACAACAACTACCACAACGGCTGCTCCAACAACTACTACCACAACGGCTGCTCCAACAACAACTACCACGACGGCTGCTCCAACAACTACCACAACGGCAGCTCCAACAACTACCACAACGGCTGCCCCAACAACTACTACCCACAACGGCTGCTCCAACAACAACTACCACAACGGCTGCTCCAACAACAACTACCACGACGGCTGCTCCAACAACTACCACAACGGCTGCTCCAACAACAACAACCACAACAGCTGCTCCAACAACAACTACCACGACGGCTGCTCCAACAACAACTACCACATCGGCTGCTCCAACAACTACTACCACAACGGCTGCTCCAACAACAACTACCCACAACGGCTGCTCCAACAACAACAACAACCACAACGGCAGCTCCAACAACAACTACCACGACGGCTGCTCCAACAACTACCACTACGGCTGCTCCAACAACTACCACAACGGCAGCTCCAACAACTACCACAACGGCTGCTCCAACAACAGCTACCACAACGGCTGCTCCAACAACAACTACCACAACGGCTGCTCCAACAACAACAACAACCACAACAGCAGCTCCAACAACAACCACCACAACGGCTGCTCCAACAACTACTACCACAACGGCTGCTCCAACAACAACTACCACGACGGCTGCTCCAACAACTACCACAACGGCAGCTCCAACAACTACCACAAACGGCTGCCCCAACAACTACTACCACAACGGCTGCTCCAACAACAACTACCCACAACGGCTGCTCCAACAACAACTACCACGACGGCTGCTCCAACAACAACTACCACGACGGCTGCTCCAACAACTACCACAACGGCTGCTCCAACAACAACTACCACAACAGCTGCTCCAACAACAACTACCACGACGGCTGCTCCAACAACAACTACCACATCGGCTGCTCCAACAACTACTACCACAACGGCTGCTCCAACAACAACTACCACAACGGCTGCTCCAACAACAACAACAACCACAACGGCAGCTCCAACAACAACTACCACGACGGCTGCTCCAACAACTACCACTACGGCTGCTCCAACAACTACCACAACGGCAGCTCCAACAACTACCACAACGGCTGCTCCAACAACAACTACCACAACGGCTGCTCCAACAACAACTACCACAACGGCTGCTCCAACAACAACAACCACAACAGCAGCTCCAACAACAACTACCACAACGGCTGCTCCAACAACTACTACAACTGTAGCTCCAACAACAACAACTACAACGGCTGCTCCAACAACAACAACCACAACAGCAGCTCCAACAACAACTACCACAACGGCAGCTCCAACAACAACTACCACTACGGCTGCTCCAACAACAACTACCACAACAACAGCTGCTCCAACAACAACTACCACAGCTGCTCCAACAACTACCACCACGGCAGCTCCAACAACAACTACTTCAGGTAAATATTATTTCTGAAATTAAATGTTATTTTTTAATTTATTTTAGCCTGTGCTGGATCCAAAAATAGAAATTGTTATCTGTGAAAAACGTATCATACACGTGATAGAAAAGTTAACTTACTTATAAGTATCCAAAAGCTTTAAAGCAAATTTGCGTAGAGGTTGATGATATTTCTGGTAGGGTTTTAATACAAGTCCATCTAAATTGACAACTAATGTAAGATTATTTTGATCAGCTGAAAAGAATGTCGGATACGGCAAATTATTTTATGCTTTTGAGTGGAATACTGATTTACCCATTAAAAAGTTATATGTGATAATTTCACAAATAACATTTCACATTTAACAATGCAGAAGTTAGTTTAAAAAAACCGCCATGTGGTACCATACATTTATGTTTGCTTACAAATATTCTATAAATTTAGACAACCTTAGACTGAAAATGATTACTAACTATAATAACAATCCGTTAATCCCCGTTTCACGGATACAGATTAATTGCTTAACGTCATGGTGTTATTTTTACATTTTATAGAATTGTTTAATGAATAATCATCCGAAATGTTTGTTTAGAGTAAATAATAATATAATTTTAATGAAAAACGTCATAATTCATTCTTATGAAAACAGTTTTTAAGCTCACTCGATGATTTAAAGGTACATCTTACAACCCCATCCCCTCCCAAATATCCCTATTTAAGTTTGAATCGCCGGTTTTAAAATGATTTAAATCACTGACTATAAATTATAATTATAAATATTATAAATTATACATGTATATTGTGAAATAAGTTCAGATAAAATTACATTGAAAAAGCGATGTCATTGGATAAAATTCACAATAATTTTATTATGTTACTATAAAATCATTCTTATAGACGCTTGCGGTGGATGTCCGACTCAAGCTACATGTGAAGCTCCGAATAGTGCGAAAAACCCGTCCTCTGTGTCAAAGTGCATATGTGGCCAAGGTTATGTAATGAATACGGGTGACACCAAGTGTTTGGGTAAGTGTTTTTTTTATTTTTTTTTTTATTTTCCCCGCATATTCATTGAGAACTGATTATTGGGTACTAAAATGTACATGTATATGTTTCTCGCATCGGACTTTGCTTTTTATGGAACAATTGTTTAATAACCTTTACTCATTTCTCGCGTAAGAATTGTTTTTTTATGAAACAAATGTTTATTATGTGTTTCTCGCATAGGCATAGCTATTTATACAAAAGTTGAATGTTTCACGTTCCGGTACGAGTAGCAAATTTTGAATTTTCAAATTAAAAGTATTTGTTGATAAGTGTTGTTTTCTTTAGTTATTTATATTTGTTTTCGGTTGCTTTTTTGCATAAAACGTATTCTTGAAAAAGTAGTTTGAACGGGTTAACGATGTTTCATTTGCCATAAAATCTTATAAAAGTAATAATTTAACCATGGTGTTTCCTACATTGAAATATCTTGAAATGTTTATGTAACATAGTATGAAATATGTCATTGTTGACATTTGACACGTTTTCCAGAAAACAGAATATCACCGTTTTCCAGCGACAATAAAGCGCCGTCTAACGACGCCTACAGTGCTTATTACGTATTTCCGGTCTCCCTTCGTATTGGACAACTGTACGCCAGTTCTGTCTACGTAAGTGTGTGCTCATGTTTTGTTAAATTGATGAATAGTCAAACAAAAAACTATTTCAGTCGAACATCTACAGTTACAAAGGTTTTGCACTGACGATAGAACTTCAGAGTAAATAATTTGAAATTAATAAATCATAAAAGGAAAACGTTACTCAAGATGTTGTTGTAATGATGTTGTTGATGCTGCTGAAGATGATGATGATGATGATGATGATGATGATTATTATTATTATTATTATTATTATTATTATTATTATCATTATTATTATTATTATAATTATTATTATTTTTATGAATTAGAAACATATTTTGATTAAACACACCGGCGAAGCTTTTCTGATAATTGAAGCATACAGAATGAATTTATAAATAAAAATATCCCACATTTTTATATATATATTTAGGCGACAATGTCGGGTACTATAGTTTTGTCTCCAGTACGGAACACAAATAGTGGACATCCGAAGGCCTTCTCTAACCCACCACTTCCGAGTAACAACTACATAATGAATAGTAACCAGGAAATATGTATTATTGCGCCCTATCACGCCAATTTACAGCAGTCAAGTCAAACTGTGAGTATTTTATATTTAAAGAAGTTTCTTAATACGCTGAATTTCTTAAATGGACTTTTCAAGCTTCTATTTTAGGAATTGTGAATTATTAATTTTTGGGGAAAGTCAAATTGAAAAACTTAATTGGTTGGATAACAGTATAGGCATGATCAGACTGTAAGGATGTGCGAGCTGACTAAACGCAAGGCTTATCACTTCTTGCAACAGGAAGTGTTAATAACTTAATTACAACATTGCCATATAAATAAAAGTCTTTAAAAGTAGTAACAGAAGCATTAGGTTATAGAATTGATTGATTTTATACAGCATCTAAAGCATTCTTATCAAAATAGAATTGTATGATGTCCTAACATCCACCATTTTGTATGAGTGACGTCATGATTTGTCAAAGTACGTACATGTATCTTTTGTATGACAGGATTCGGGCCTCTACACACAATTACACACGGACAGCTCCTCAGTTCAGACGGTAAAAGATAAGATTCAGGGGTATCTCCCTTCAGGTTTTAATCCCACAGTTGCATTTGTTGCGACTTGGAATCGCATGAAGAAAACCAACACAAGCGACCAATTGGTACGTGTTCTTCTTTTCATATTGTACATAACGCGCAATCTGATTGGCTAATGTATAAATGTTTCCAGCTGTACAATTGATGGAATTATATGTTTTATATTCATGATTTGCGATGAAATTTAACTATATACATGTATATACAGTATTTTAAGCTAATGGAAGGATTATTCTAACATGTATAATGATATAGGAAATATATACATATTTTCATGTTAAAAGAAAAAGTTACTTTTGGAGTTTGGAGTATTCATTTGTATAATAATTATGGAACAAGAGTAGTTTTGTCAGTGTTACATATACACAGAGTTGGTTTAATCAAGAAGTTTACTTATTATTCTAATTGCAGACGATAACTTTCCAAGCGTTTTTATTGTCGGATTCCAAGATTACATATACAGCGTTTATCTACCAAGATGGGGAAATGAAGTTCAGTATACCTCTAAGTCAGCCGGCTTTAGTCAACTACCCGGTCAAGGTCGGACTTCAAATTTTGACCAGCACATCTAACACGGAAATTTACAAGTTTGATTACTCTCAGCTGCCTATTGCAAACGTGGCATCGAAACCATTTATAGAAAATATTGACCAAGTCAGTCAATTATACGACGGTTTTTCAAACAATGCAGCAAGTCTGATAAGTAAAAGACAAGCAAATGGAATTGTAACTTATTCAAATGGCCAAAGCGTGCCTTCATATGGAAAAAGAGGTGTATTTGTGTTTGTTATAAGCGCAGAAACAGAACATCCGGTTGCCACTTGTCAAACTTGGCTTGATGCTAAGTCTGCGCTCACTACAACTTCGTATACTAAATGTCCGGGAACTTTCGCCCAAATGCCGCAAAGTTTACTAGCAAACCCAAGGACAATCAAAACTACCGAAAATAACATTGACTACTATTTCATTCCTGAGAAAGATTCGCAAACTATGGGGAAAGTTTGCGGTTACATGTCAGATGATACGTTTTTGGACCCCACAAACCATGTTGCCTATAACGGAAAAACTTTGTACAGGTAAAAGCAGCACTCAAAATCTTAATTCCATATATTTCCCTTATACTTGTAAAATGATGAAGTTCATAAACTATCAGTTTCAATAAAGCAATTTAAATAAAATTATCACAAATATTAAGTCAGTAAAAGCACTTGAAATCGATACTTTCAGCATTTTATCAACATCATAATCATGTAGGGGTGTAATCGACCTACCATTGAAACACTATTTAAAAACCAGAAAAAAAACTCTTGTGCTCGTCGAATAAACTAATTAAAATGCGTCGGGTCGTTCCCGACGTTACATAATAATTATCATTCGCACAAAAATACGACATAATGTTTGAGTGAAATGACAATGGTGAAATGACAGAGTGAATATTTCAAAGACCCTGGTTTGAGCTGCAATTTTGCCCATGTTGTCGCAGTGACCATTTTTATTGAAGACCGCTTTGTCCAAGTATGGATTAAGGTATTGTGAAACTATTAATTACACATGTATATATCAATCTTAATTTATGTTATCACGGTCCTGTTTCAGATTGAACACAAACGACGCCAATGAGCAGACGTCATACGAAGCTTGCTGTATTCAGGGTCCGACCCTTTCCTCAGCTAATCTCTGCAATCAGTATCTTGCCACACGGCCTGCTTGTACGAGTGAGAACTTCCAGGCAGGAGCGTCGGGTACAAACCTTTTAGTTTTATCTTAGTTTTATTTCTATCTTTTGAATGTTATTAGATTGTATATTGATATTCAATATAATTATATGTGTGTGGTTGTACGTTTTGATTCATGTTGACTTATTAATATAATGATAAAGATATTTTACACACTTATCTATAGCTTGTTTTCTTGATGATATCAAATAAATTGCTAGTGACTTCGACAGACGTATAGTCCTGTAAATGCGACTGACGTATCTGAAGAAAATGAGCCAATACAATAACTAAATAAAAATAATAAAGCCATTCTTTCAACAGTATGTATGCTTTGTGCCCTGTCAGTTTTTTTTTCAAATTGATTTAAAACAGCAGTTAGGTCCTTTACATTTGAAATAATTATCCGAATGAAATACTGGCGCTTTGGCTATTAAAGGAAATATATTTTGTTTTAACAGGTGGTGGCCAAGGGGATCCGCATATTCAGACGCTAGATGGACACAGCTATACATTCAATGGTCGCGGAGAATACTATCTTGTGACCGGAAACGACTTCATACTGGAAGCTCGTTTTACTAGTTTAGAGGTTGATGGGTCGCCTAGTGACGCAACAGTCGTATCGTCTGTTGTCGCAAAGCAGACGGCACCAGAATCAGACGTCGTGGAGCTGAGACTTAACACTGCTGGAGATGATGTCGGTTAGCAAAAACTTATTTGTTTGTTATAACAAAATCTTTTGGGTAAAAAACTTTTATTTCAGAAATTAATTGGAATCTAGTAAAGTCGTCCTGAAAATGTCTAAATAGAATAACTGACTGTATAAACTATGTTTCGGAGGCCGCATTCCCTCTTGCTTGTCAAATTAATTTGGTCTATACATGTAGTCATTTTTTCTAATAGCAGTATGTAATCATACTACGATTACCTGTAGTGTTTAGAATTTAACCCTTTACCCCATATATACGCGAAACAACGCACTTTCGACCCCCCCCCCTTTTTAGGTCTCAAAGAGTGAAAAAATGTCCTATTTGGGCCCCAAAACACATGATTTCGTTTGAGAAATGTTGCTAAAAAAATTGAGCACTTTTTCGGCGCCGCCCCCCATCTAAAAGATACATCAGGGGGTTGCCAGAAGGGGGATGTGCCCCCTTCTGTTAGGGGGGTTTGAAGGGGGGCGGAGTCCCCCTCATCGCCAAGAAAATTTTGGACTTGTGATAGGCTAAAAATGACCCCAGGTCGATCATAATGTAACGTGTAACCAACGCTGAAAAGCCTTTGACTCTATCTCAATCCCTTGAGAAGTTGCAGCACTTTGAAATAAATTTTGATGGAAGAAATCGAGGCAAAATAGTGTTTTTTGGCAATTTTGAGATGTCCCCTCGTTGCCATGGTAACAGGAAATTTAAGACTGAGCATGTCGTTACAAAGGCAATGGTCCAGTCAACATTTGTGCCAAGTTTAATTAGTATTGAAGCATTTTTCATAGTTTCACAGCAGTTTGAAATTGTAACAGGAGGCTTTTCAGTGAAAACGGCCATTTTTCACAATATGCTCATGGGGGAAAGGGTTAAAACGTTACATGTTTCCTCCGTGTGTATTCAAAAGATGTTTATTTTACATTTCAAAAAAGAGGCCATAGTAACGAACAAATTTTAGCATATTGGGATATATTTAATCACTATTACGGCGTAAATGACAAATAAACTATTTTTATCGCTAGTGTAAGAAGTGGTTATTTTTTTTTTCTTTTTTTTTCTAAATTTTTTGGTTATCTCGGTTTATACAAATCACTAAATTGACAGGTTAGTTAAAATATAATTTGGTGCTCACTTAAACCCGTATACATGTATACATTTTCTGTAAGGAAGCAATACATCCAAGATTTGTTCATAGATTTCTTAAGCTACTATTATATTTGTATATTTTTAAGTACAGTCAAACCTCGGCATAGCAACACCCTATTTCAGACAAATATTTATGTTTTTTCTGAGAGGTATTGCTTTACAGAGGTGAAATGAATTGTGAATGTTTTCTTTGGGAGAGACAAATTACTGTTACTACAAAGAGGTAATTGTTCTAAAGAGGGTCGCTCAGCAGGGGTTATACTGTACTTGACTTGTAACTGTTCTGTTTATTCCAGAGCCATACGTTAACGGAGTCCTTGTGACAACGTTAACCACGTCAACACCGACAACAACAAACCATTTCGTGCTACAGAAAACAGCTGAAGGTGTTTATAGAATGGTCTTTTTCAGCGGCATTCTAGTAAACGTTAAACCAGCAAACAATCTTCTCGGTGTTACGCTTGGGCTAGGAGCCGAGGGGTGGACGGGGCAAATTAAAGGTACCGTACGCATTAAAGAGATAAAACATTCTTTATTTTAAAATGTTTTACTCCGATTAATTACAGAAAATAAAATTATATTTTTTATGTTTTACGCCGATTAAATACATAATGTATTCTTACATGATTGTAAAATTTAGAGATATGTGAAAATAAAGTATAAATGATTATATATACAATATGAAAATGATCATATATAAGTTCACAGTTAAACAATTATTTCTGACGTCCGTGAACAAATTACACCTGAAATGAGTACATCACAGGCAGTTGCAAATTCATTTAGCAAAGTAAAAATGAGACAAAAGATGGAAAGAAAATTAGTAACAGAAAAGTATTGATTTTTTTTAAAGAAAACAATGCATGTAATAGGAAAACGTGATAATTTGCAAACATTTTCAGGTTTGATGGGAAATTACAATGGCGACATAACAGATGATTTTGTTCTTCCGGATGGTTCCAGTGCCGGGAACCCAACAACCCTGACAGAGCAGCAAGTCTACACACAGTTCGGGAACCAGTGTAAGTAGACTATGAAATGTCGTGTTAAATTTTCACTTTAAGAAAAAAGTTGGTAAGGCCAATGAAGAGTGCGGATGGATAGTGCATAGAAAACAGTTAATAATATGTTATATTGTTATGTTACACCATTGTCATTTCAAACACGAAGAAATGGTCTCTCTCGATTGGTAAAATGTATCTTAAAAAGAATTTTGATTAGACTAGTAATAGTGGAAAGAAAAGAAAGGGTCGAATTTTGACCCCAAATCAACTCCTTAAATGCACTGAAATGTATCGTGTTATTTGAACGAACGGCGCTTAGTAAACTGAAAATTTGTGGCAATGATGTAGTAAAAATAATCTCATCAGATGTTTGAATATTATTACTATTTACCGATTCTAAGACTTGTTCCCGGTTCATCATTACTATAACGTTGGAAAACAAGCAATTCTACGACTTAAGCAAATTGTAGCAAATTTTGTCAGATATTTCATTCAGTATAATAATTATGTGAGGAGGGTAAAACATTTGTTCCTTTGTCACATTATCTATTATGATATGAACACAAACTATGAGCCAAAGCTTAATAAAGAATAGGAAACTAACGATTTTATAAACTTTACATTAGAATTGTCTTTGTATTGCTTTAAATTCTATGTCTTTATGATTCCAATCCCAGTGATGATTTATTTATATGTTACTTCCAGGGCGTGTGGACGTAGCCGATTCCTTGTTTACGTATAAAAGCGGAGAATCTTGGGCCTCGATAAACGACTTGACCTTTACCCCGATATTCTTTAACTCGGACCTAACCGTCATGTTTCCGGATGCAACAGAGCGTACTTCCGCCCAGAATTTATGCTATGAGGATGGTCAGACTGACCCGGACCCAGCGTTGAGGAGAGAGTGCTATTTCGATTTTGCAGTGACAAAAGATGCTACATTGGCATTGAGTACTTCAGAAAATTTGCAAGCCGTTGCCGAAGAGCAGGTAGCATTAGGTAAGCACCCCCTCGCGACCTACTTCCAAACAAATTAGTGTGTCAAAACAAACGTGAAAACTTAAACTGGAATGTGTGAAAAAGCCAGATGTGCTGATCAATATCAAAGATTTAGTAGGATGTTTCTATTTGGGATTTTAAAAGTACTTGAATTATTATTTTTACACAAGGCTGTCAAATTTTTAATCAGTGATATACAGAGCTCCAGATATTTTTTTTGGCCAAGGGGTTTTTACCCCTCAAAATTTAGAGTGAGGGGTTAAATGCAAATTCTGAAAAACTTAAGGGGTAAAATCTGTCAAAAAAGCATTTTGCATTTTTTATAAACAAATTAAACTTATTGTTTTGTTTGTTTATTTTCTTTTTTTTAGAAAAACCTTTACAAATTAAATACTGATTTAATGTGAAACAATACAAAACATGCCATGTAAAGTCAGACTCCCAGAGTATACTGGAACTCAAGTTTAGGATACACAGCAAAATTATCAGGGCTCCCATTTTCAAAATTTGGAAGTCCAAATCTCTGATACATTATATAGGTAAAGAAGGTTAAGTATTGATTTTCGGAAGTCACAGGCCGAAATGAAGGAGTAAATGACTCCCAAACTTCCACTAGTGGAAGCCCTGAAATTATTTTATTTTTTAGGAGTCAATATTTTTCTTTCTTTATTTCTGTTGGCATGTACCTTATCATGTACTCCAGTTTGAACAATTATAGTTAAAATTAGAATTAAAGAAACATAAACAAGATTTTTTTATCTTTCCTTAAAAAAATGTATTGGTCTGAGAGAAAATTGTCCGTAACTGTAGACTGGGTATGAAAATATTGAGTAAAAAACTGCAGGTGAAAAACATGTTATTTTGTTCCAACAACAAAAGTTAAAGAAATTATAATATATTTTTGTTTATATTGAGGCATAAGCATGTCAATAGATGCCTAAACAAACTTAATACTGTGTTAACTCCTACGATGATTATCTGGCACAAATTTCATCAATAATTTCACAGGTTGATCTACGGGAGTTACCTCCCTTCTGTATTTCCTGCTACTTTCGTTTTTAACATGCGTTGTTGACAACAGAATTTTTAGTTTTCAATGCAATAAAATAGAAATATATTGTATTTTTATGCTCAAAACATTTTCTTTCTACATATCAAATGTTTACACTTCTATTCTATCACGCATAAATTTTGACATACGAGCGTATTTTCATTTTGTTGTGCGTAACTGTGACGCACGAATTTTGAAAGTGATGCGTATTTTAGATTTTCTATGCGTATACTATCTGGACGCTATCTGGAGCTCTGGATATATGACAAGTTTGATTTGTTTATAGGCGGTGCTATTTACGCAAAATAGCATGTGTCCATTGTATTTTAGACAAGGTTAGCTTTTAAAAAAGCTAGTAGCGACTCGCTTCGTAAATTTTGTCCAGGGGTGCGTTTAAATGTAAAAATGACAGTTCTGTTAGCTGAAGAGACTTCAGCGAACATCAAAATAAAAGTGACATAAAGTTATGGAAGCCAGTTTCACTCAGTTTAACAAAGAGGAATATGAGTATATATGAAGATGCATGTAAACAGATAGAATGAAGTCCCTATGTCTATGCACAATTACTCTATGGCCTTTTGACCTTAACCAAATAAATGTTAGATAGGTAGAATTCAAGATGTCTCTTTATACGAAGTTAAGTTGTAATATGGTATTTAGTATTGGAATGAGTGACAGACACAAGTCCTAAAGTAAACACAAGTTGTCAATTAATTCAGCCAGAAAAGCCGGGATCCTATTAAAAATATAGGGATCCCGGGAATTAACCAGTCTTAGATGCTTTTCAGATAAGCCAGGATCCTATTAAAACATATAGGGATCCCGGGAATTGACCAGTTCAAGAATATACTTTTCAGAAAAGCCGGGATCGTATTAAAGTATAAAGAGATCCAAGGAATTGGCCAGTTCAAGAATATAGTTTTCAGAAAAGCTGGGATCGCATTAAAACATAAAGGGACCCCGGGATTTGACCAATTCAAGAATGTAGTCTTTGATTTTTCCAATTAATTAGGCATATAATTATAAGTATAAGTATTGTGATTTTTAAGTTTGTTGATAAATAGCTCTAAATATATTTATATCCAAAGTTTAATTAATTTAACGTTCATTACACACAATAAAAAAAACTTAACGTTTAATGGCCTTTCATTACGACAATAATCAACACAAATATAGTTTATAAGTTTTTCCTCTATATCTTATACGATCCCGGATCCCGGCCAGTCCGGGCGTCCCGGATCCCGGCAAGTAAATATATATACTAAATACCGGAAAGGATAAAATGACCGGAAAAAAGGAAAAAGAAAAAATGCACAGAACCAGGTGTATACTTATGTTAATTAACCAAACGAAAACTTACTACAGAGGAACAGGTGAAATCGCTAAATCAAAAGTCAGTGTTAATATGATTTATTGTAAAGAATTCATGAAAACAAACATTTTTAATCATCATAATATCTTTGCGCTCAAAACAATACTTGCTGCTTTTTAAATATGGCGTGAAAATTGAAGGTTTTTTTGACGCTATGTAAGATTAAATTTGATTGGCTAAATAATTTTGGATCTAAGCCCTGATAGATAAATTTTTATAGAAAGCTGGAAGCCAAGCTTCGATTAAATTTGTGGATGTATTCGGAGTTTTAGGTTGTTTCTCAGTAAAATCCTAACGTAATACCGGCTCGCCGTGGCGAGCCGGCATAACTCGGTAACATCGGTGCGTTTTTGTTCCTTCTACGCACCCGGTGCTCTACGAATTTGCAAGAAAAGGGTACATAGAACAAGAACTAATTCGAATCCCAATAAGATTAAATCATGGACCTTATTGACATTAAGGTCATCGTTGACCTTTATTGACATTAAGGTCCGTGATAAAATACATACAAAATTGCGTTAAACTGTCTTCTTTGTTATTTTCGTGTATCAATGCGTCCATATTTTTTAACCAGACAAGCAATCAAAATTTCCTACAATATTCTGTATAGATTCTAATATATTTACAATTTAAAAATCGCCTTTTCCAGCTAACTTCCCTCCAGTTTTCAAAAATGGTGGAAATCCAGTTCAGCTTATTTCCGGTCAGTCGTACAGTTCCATTATAACCTTGACAGCAGACGACCAAAATGGCGACACCGTGACTTTTTCTGTTGTTTCCGGTTCTGCGTCAGGTGTCAGCGTTGTGTCGGGAAGCGGACTGGTTTCCTTTGCTAATGTTCCTGACACGACACCGTTTTCAATCAAAATAGCAGCTTCAGATGGAAAAGTGCAAACAATCTGGGAACCAAAGATTCAGTACTGCGCATGCCAGGTAATGAAATTTGTTAAATGCACAATGGAAGAAATAGCAACTAAAACTCATTTTGTATGTCAACTCTAAACGTTTGAATGTCTTAAAAACATTTAATAAAAATACTGAAGAAAGGCTTTATCCCCGCTTTGTTTCATAAATTAGTTACAATCCTTTTGCAAGAAGCTCTAGGATTTTATTCTTATATCATTGAATAATGTATCAGCACCTAACTAACCACATGCGAATGCTAGCTATTATCAGATTATTCGGGGTAATAATGGCGCAAGGGAAAAGGTATGCATAAACATGTACATATTACACTTATTAATTAAGCAAATTAACCTTAACAAAGTTTTAGTACAAATGAAATATTCTTTTGAAATTTGATTACCTTGTTTTTGTGTGTGTGTGTGTGTGTGTTTTTTTAATCCTTTAAGTCCACATGTATACCTCATATGGATTTGTTTTGTTTTCGTTCCATATTGCAATAATTTCAAGACAGGTTAGAATTTCGTCGCCTTATTACCAGAGGGACGTAACTCGATTTTTTGGCAAAATGTCATGTTTGGTATCGTTGGATTCGTAATTTCAAGCTATACAAGATGGGCCGACTTACACCCATGTAGAACTAATAATAAATACGCTATTTTCCGTTCCAAGAAGACGTAAGTCCGTTTAAACACATAATTTGATTTCCAAAAAGTCGTAACTCAACAACCAATGGGAATGGCCGATTTCACTCTAAACGGTGCTAGGGTACAATTTTCACTTGCAAAAGTATCCATTTTTGAAAACTGCATCGTAAAGTTAACATGATTTTGATCAAGTTATGGGAATTATTTTTAATAGAAAATGTAAGTATAAACTAAAAGTACTGTTTTATTTCAGAATTTCTTACAGCGGTGTTTTAAAATGTTCTGATTTACACCTGTTCCAATGGTTTAGTGAATAGACCTATTTCGGATGCACACTGTATTTGGACAAAGTTTGGATTGTGCAGAAAACATCCCCTTGAACCATTCAGTGTGTTATGTTTAACTTTTTTGTCACCATTTACATTATGTATGCACAGATAAATAGTATGTAACATACATTCCAAGTAAATGTGTATCCACCTATCTTATATTTTAACACGTTGTGTGCCCTTTCTGGGAAATCAGTCACCAGAACCAGTTAGATGTTTTAACAAGTCATTCTTGGTTGATGTTTAAATTTTATTTTTAAAGCTGCCATATGGTTTTGCTGATCACATTGTATATTAAACCCATTTGGACCTTGTTTGCGTGCCAGTATGGACTTGCGCAGTTCTTTCATAAGACTGTTCTAAAGTTCAAACATGATTATTTTTTATAACTTTTTTCTGTTGATCACTATGATTTCTGAATATTTCAAATACCATAAATTGATATTTTCAGGAGTGCAAGGATTCAAGATCTGCCTAGTGAAGTATTGGTGAAAATATTCCAGTTTTTACAACTTGAAGATCTATTAAGAACGGTCAATCGTGTCTGTGTTCTCTTTTACAATCTAATTGAAAATTCTGCTGTATTGTGGAAAGAAATTGACTTCTCACACCCACTGGAACTGACAGCAAACAATTTGTATCAGGTGCTTCGACATTCTAGGAAGACAGAAACATTGTTACTACCTTGTGCAACATACCATTGTGCTAATGCAAATTAGACAGAATATTTACGACATCAGACTTCACTTCGCTGGTTTGGATTGACATAACTGATGCGAAAGTATCAACTTTGTGTTTCCTGTATGGTGCACCAAATCTAGAAATAGTGAACGTTAGTGGATGTTCGAACCTTATAGATGATGATTTCTTGGTACTTAAAGACAGCACTAAACTAGAACAGATTTATGTGAGTTTCACAAGAATACTACCAGAAACATTGGAAGTAATTTGCAAAGATAAACCTCTCATCTGTGTAGATGCATGTGGAGTCAAACTGAACATTAAAACGTGCCAGAACATTTTGCAAAACACAACTGGAGAGCTTGTCTACTTCAATATATCACTGTGTTCTTCGTTTCCAAAGAAATCTTTAAAGCAGAAATTCTGGATTTATACCTGAACACATCTATTTCAATACACAACCATGAGTACTAGTAAATTCAATTTAAGTGAAGTTATGAACATGCTGGAAGATGATCAGTTACAGTATAGTGATGACTTGTTTGAGAGCAATGGTGAACAGTCTTATGATGTAAATGAAATATTTGACAATGTACCAAATGATTTATGCTACCAGCAGTTCAGTGAGCAAAATGAAACTAACCTTAACTCTTTTGACAATGTGGACGATTCTATATCTTTAGCACATAATGCGGAAGAAAATTTAAGTACTATTCCTGATACAGTAACGTTGAATTTTTATGACACTAGCAGATTACCAGAATCAGAAATATCAGAGGAGACATGTGATTCCCACTTTAAAGATTACCAGAAATCTAGTTCTGTGATCAATTTCAAAGGAGTTCCCTATACAAAGGTCAAAGTTTTGAGATATACTAAGAGCCAGCCATTGCTGGTTGAGTTTAAACTTGCTTTCAGTGAACAACAATACCAAAATTATATTCTTGTCAGACGTCAAACAAGAACAACTGAAGAAACACTGAGAGAACTGCCCAGTACACAGCAATTAAGAAAAGTACCCGTGATTCCACTAAATAAGAAAAAAGATTTGTCAAGTATGCTAAAGTACATGCCAGCGATGGATCAGGAGTTCTATAGGGGCTGCAAACTTGTGATTGAAAAGCAGTGACTGAAATCAAGCTTAGATGGGATCTGTGTTGGGGTTATGAGAACTGTGTTTGGGTTATGAGAAATTTGTTGGGGTTATGAGAAGTGTGTTAGGGTTATGAGAACTGTGTTGGGGTTATGAGAACTGTGTTAGGGTTATGAGAACTGTGTTGGGGTTATGAGAAATATCAGGTTATTGTTAGTCTGTATGTGCATCAGATAATATATTGAGATAGGGGTTTCTAAAGTATGATATCTGTATTACAGTATGATATGTTGTTTTAGTTTTCATAAAGTTTACTGTTGGTGTTCATAATGTTATCATTTGATCATAAATAGCAATGTTGCTATGCATAAGAAACCATTTAAATTCTTATTGTTATGGTTTTTGGTATTGAAAGTCAAGTGATGACTCAGTTTAAATTGTGAATTGAAAGGTGTTTGGTCAGTTGAGATGAATGTATGTTTAAGGTTCTTTTATAAGCAGTTAACTACATGTATTGTTGTTGTTTTCAGCTAAGACACAGGTGATTTTTTTATTCTCAATGTAAATAATGGTTGACATAACTGGGCTTTAATACTTTGCTAGTGGCAAGATTTATATCTAGCTGTCAGTCAGAGTCTTTTTAACCTGAGTGCAGTAATGCTTTAATAAATACACCATTCTCATTAAAAACGTCAATGAATGTGGACCTACAGTATAATATTATACCCTCATTGATTGAATATTGTAATAAGAAGTAATAAAAACTGTTTGCCTAGTACTATAATTAATTGGACATATTTCTTTCTTATCAAACTTCCAAATCATATGTAATAGTGATATATTTCTGTGCAAACTTAGCCATGCTGTATTTTTTGTGTTCCATTAACTGTTCAAATAAACTGTTCAAATCATTTTTACTTTTTTCTATGCTCCTGTTATGAAGATGGACGTTTGGACTTTGCAACACAACACATAGGATCTAGTAGGACACACGTAAATAGAGTTTAGAACGACTTTCCTATGGAGGTCACTCACAAATTGAGTTTAGGTCGATTTTTGAAAATTAGCATTAAATTCACACGAAACTCCATTAACGTTGTGTCCTCCACAGAAACTCTTCCTTAACTCCTAAAGTTTACAGCTTTTTTCAAAAGTATCTTCAGTCATCTTGGTTGGCTGTTTCTGTACAAATATTATTGTGCTTGTGCCAAATCTGTTTCTAAATCTGACTTGAAACAGAATGTGGCGTCTCCCGATTCAAACCTTTGTGGTAGAGACCATCAGATATAGTCTTACTGGGATGTGTGACAGCAAACCATTTTAAAAAAAATTAAACTAACAGTTTTCTATTTTGTGAGATTTTGGAGAAAATTCAAATGTATTATTCATTCCAGAAAGTCGTAACATATGATTTGAGACTTAAATTTATTTCCATATGGACGTAACTCGAAGTTGCGTTTTGGAACTAAAATTATAACACAAAAATTCATTTTCAGGGGAATTTCAAAAAAATGTTTTTAATAAATAAGGAAAAGTAATTATCTGATAAGCCTGAAAGTGGACATGCTTATGTAAAAGCATATGACAAATATCCTTTCAAAAATTCAGCTCGTTAGCCCTAGAGGTAAAGGCTGTACAGCATATCAAAACTTTAAATGCGTTTTTCGTGAAAGTAACTAAATGCAACTTACGTCCCTCTGGAAATAAGGCGACGATTTGTACATATGTAACAAGTAGTAGCATCGAAACGCGAGGCTATCTGATTTGTAAGGGGGCGAAGCTCCCGACTATAAATCAGACTCTTGCAAAAGGAGTAAAGCAAATCAAAGCAAAACTGATTTATACATGTATATTATAAATTATGCTTACAAAAAGATTTGCTTATTTCATATCTAGGTAACGGCGTTACATATTTACTCTTTTCGTGCAACTTATATTGTCACGTGGTTTAACACAGTTTTACGTATTTAGTCTCGATTCTTAGAATAAATGATTCTTATGTTTGTGTTACTTTTTACCAGAATTCAGGCGTGTGTGATTTTAGTCAGACCTCGGATAACATATTCTTCACTGTACCATGTCAATGCACGGCCGGTTGGGAAGGTGCATTTTGTGAAACCGATGTGGATGGATGCGCAGACAACCCTTGTTTTACTGGTACGTATAAAAAATTTTTCATTCGGCTCATTTGCTCTGAAATTTCGGTTAATCATATCTGCATCGAGATATGTTATTTGTTGGTGGGATGGTGGAGTATTTTTTTCTAAGCTACAACAGTATCCACCGTTCCAGAGCTTATTTTACATGTCCGTTGTAGAGCACCGACACATGGGAGACCGGTTTTTAAGATCTTATTCGTAGTACAAGTAAAATTAGTAAATGATTTAATTTCTCATTGATTTTGAAAGCAAATAGTAATGTGTGATACTTTGCCAAAAAGAATTATCATAAGCCTAAAAACTGTTTTAACATGTTATGAATTTGATTTTTTACCTATTCAGCTGTTAAAATCGTACATGTATGTAAGACCATATTTCGTCACTTGTTTTCAATGTCAACTTTTCAAATTGAAGGTGTGGCTTGTTCAGACGTACCAGCCAATCAGATTGCAAGTAAACCAGCAGGATTTGAGTGCGCCGCATGTCCGATTGGTTTAGCCGGGAATGGCGAGGAATGTCACGGTTGGTTTGTTCTCTGTGTTTGTGTTTAATCAATTCGTTTTGTTGTTGTTGACATTATCATAAGAAGTTTGTCGTAATGAAAGTGGGTAGGGGGTGGGCATATGTTGGTGAAATGCTCTGTAAAATATATATCAATATGTACAACTGTATAGCAACACCCTTTATTTGGAAGTCTCAATTAACGTTTTTTTTGTTTTTTTTTTTTTTGTTGTTGTTTTTTTTTGCTTGTTTGTTTGTTTTTTTTTTTTGTTTTTTTTTTTTTGGGGGGGGGGGAGGTGTTAGGAGTGGGGGCAGGGAATGATACTATAGTTATAAAAAGATGGTTGCTGTACAGATGTTGTGTACTGTAGATTTGTTATGAAAAACGGGTGTTTGAAACGTTCTTATTGGTTTGAATTCACTATAGATAGGCAATGATTGTTTGAAAGATACACATATCTACATGTAGATCGGCATGCTTTTTTTTATTTAAGTGTACAAATTGATATATCATTATGTCATTTGCGGTATCTCCTAGCATAATCTAATGACATTTTATTGCCAATATATTAACATTGAATGTACTTGTTGAGTTTTACTTATTTCTTTCAGACTTCAACGAGTGTTTAAATGACCCAAGCATATGTAGTCAGACTTGCACTAATGAAGTTGGTGGATACAGTTGTTCGTGTGGGGCGGGATATCTCATTGGCGACGATCTCTCGTCTTGTATTGGTAATCCGTCATTATTACGGAAATTTTCAAAATAAGTAGTGACTGAATAGCAAACAACAGACGACATAATATGCCTGTAGATCTTAGTTTACACCGACCGCAAGTGTCAATTCTATTCCGGCCAACAGTGCTAAGGGTTGATTTAACAGTTTTGTTTCAGTTTGGCGTATTTCCGGTCGCTTTTTAAATGAGCAATAATAAATACTACCACTCGATGAAAATAAATCTTTAGTTTATAGAAAAACCTGATTATCCTCTTTTGAAATCACGTGTAGTAAAATAGAAGATATGCTTATTTAAATTGCCAGTGTGAATTTTGATGAAATGGTGATTGCTCATAACTTGCTGAAAAATGTTTTTTTATTGTTTTTTTTTTTGTTCTTCAGATATTAACGAGTGTACACGAGGATTAGCAGACTGTGATAGTGTAGCCACGTGCGCAAATACAGCAGGAAGTTTTACATGCACGTGTATGGCGGGCTACTCGGACACCGGATCGGGGAAAACCGGTCAATGTCAAGGTAAAAAGCTATTGACTCTTAATGAGAATATAATTTTGGTTTGTTTTGTTATTTCTTAAAAAAATCTTCTGTTGTTATGTTTGTAATTAGTGTTTTTTTAAATATATTTTCCTTTAAAGGATGTACCAGATTCACCAGTCAGGTCAGTAAGCTGGTAACTTTGTGCATGATGGGTTTTTTAGCTTTTTCTTTTCATATTGAAAATAATTCATGTAATTTACAGGTCCCGCTTTATTACATTTATCCGTCTTTGAATCCGGGACGGTCCGCACGCCACAAAGGCAAATGTACAGTCACCACACCAATAAGAGGCCTTTCGGTTTTTGAAGTATCAACAGATTTGCGTGGCACTTAATATTTGATGTATAGCATAATAGTACGAACATTATATTTGTTTTAAATGTTTTCTTTATGACTTATTTTAGACATTTGATTTCAGATATTGACGAATGCAGCACACTGACTGACCCCTGTCCTGCTAATAGCCAGTGCGCAAACACAGCTGGTTCCTATGTGTGCACGTGCGATACTGGGTACCAATTTAATACTGTGACGGACTTATGCGAGAGTAAGTTGTTGTTTTTTTCTTTGCAATGATAGAAAAATAAGCTTTATAAATATACTGTTTACAATCTAAACATTTGTAAATTAGAATTATCCTATTGGTTTTGGCATATTCGTTTTTTTTCCATTGTTTACAAGTGCTTTCGGTCATATATTAATTACATGTTTCCATTAAATTGTTGCATAGCCTAATTTCATATTTTCTCATTCTATTTATAGATATTGATGACTGTGCACTTCAAACAGAGTGTTCACAATTATGTGAGGACGGTGTGAACACATACACGTGCAAGTGTCGGAGTGGTTTCACAGCGGCCGCAGGGGGAGTGTGCAACCGTAAGTAAAGATACACAATGCATAAACCTATATATTATATTAGTAGCATGACAAACTTCGCGATCGTGTATATGAACATATATAACCATTTCGTAGCGGCTCGGGTTATATAACTTTACATTATGTTTAAATTGGCCATATAACCTTACAAAAATCTTTACAATTAATGATATGTCCTTGTCCTTTTTAAGCAACAAGATCCATTTAATCTTGTGCCAAGACAGTCAAATTTGCTCCCAAATTTTGACTTTATGTACTTGCTTTAGGCATAAGGGTAAGGAAAATTTCTTGAATCATTGGCGGCATGTGTTTAACTTATCATTAATCCTAATGAATCACCATTCAGTCTACCTGCATTCTTATTCTAATTAAAATAGTTGTGAATAATACATGGCATACTTGAAACAAGCTTTAAAAATTCATATTTTCCCTTCGGATAAAACATAAAATATCTATTAATTCATTAAACAAAATATTTCTTGTCAAATACAGTAAAACTTCAAAAGAAGTTCATATATCAGGCGAAATCTTATCATTATTTTTAAATTCTTTACACAGCGGATACCACGTGTGATAGTACACAAGCAGCTACCTGTAACGGTGGTGACTTCTCTATAGCCACGTGCGCCGTGGCGAATGGTGACGTAATATGCGCGTGTAAAAGCGGCTACGCCCTTGACTCTAGCAACAACTGTGTCGGTACGTGAACTTGCTTTATTATGATTATCTCCCTTTGTGCAGTTGAATGATAACAATTGTCTCCCTTGATTGTGGTTAACATCCTGCTAAGTTACATTAGCATAATTAATGATTTTATTTATAATATATTTTTATATGGAATGCCGGTAGGGACATGCCACTTTGCTTATATGCCAACTACTTAATTGCTTATTTGCTAATTTCTGATTTGCCAATTTGCTTATTTGCCAATTTGCTTATTTGCCAATTTGCTTATTTGCTAATTGCTTATTTGCTTATACATGTATACATAATTTTTTATGCTATTGTCAGGCGACACGTCCGACTCGCTAAGTTCTTGTTTGATATAAAATAACAAGTCTTTGTAGACTTTATTTCAAGCTCATGAACCTATATCATGTTAATATTATGTTTATAAGGTTTTGTTAATTATAACTTGTGACATTTATGATCAATCCATCATTACCTAGAATATAGGTAGAAAGACAGATGGATACATTTTTAATCAATTTCGAAAAAAATAAATTTAGTTTCAGAAAGTAGTTTGTTTTTTTAATTATCTTGAGTTTCCGTTTTAGCTCCACTATTCAGAGAATAGGGATGCTATTCTTAGTAACTTGTTTTTCTGTCATATCTCTGTTACTTTTGCTGATTCATGCATTTTACTGCAACTTTGCATAAACTTTGCGTTACAAGCATGCATACAAAGTACATGAAGAAGCTGTGCCCGTTATATACTTAATGTCAAGGTCACCAATGTATTGTACTAAGAAACCTTTTTTTTCTGTCATATCTCTGTTACTATTGCGTATATCTAACTGTTACTTCACATAAGCGTTAAATAGGCAGCATGCATACACAATATTCAAAGAGGCTTTGTCCATTATACCCTAGGTCATGATCATGGTCATGGTCACCTGATAGCATGTAAAATGTACAATATGAAAAATGGAAAAGTGTGACCAAATTTCAAAACCATTGAACCAAAGCAAAATGTTGATGCACACACTGACATAAGTGATCTCAAAATCTTACAGAGCTAAAAACGAAGCCTATTGCTTAAGTGCAAAGACAAACACCCGTGTTAAGCATGCACCAAATGTATCATTCGTGATACTATGTGTTCGTACCACTAAAATGAGGCCCTCTGTGACAAATCTGCTGAGAATAACGACATTTTATATGCCATAAAATAATAAATAGTTTTTGTTTTCAAGTTCTTTTATTTTCAATCTTTAACCAATATTTTTCACTTATATATGACTAATCAAGTGTTTATTATGCCACCAATCTCTGACTTAAGCTGCACAAACAGATATATAGCTGCAACACATTATAAGGCATTCTCAAGCACAGATGCTGGCGGGTCAGATCCTGCCCCTAACGTGATACGCGTATGTAAACACTATATCAAAACTATTTTAATATTTATTTAAATACAAATTGGACATTTGTTACAACGATAAAACCATTAAGTACTTTATTGAGACTTGGTGGTATATGGTATTTTTTCATACCGGTATATGTAAAAATTGCTTGAAAACAAGTTTTAACGATGTCCAATTCGTGTTTAGATATCAAAATATTTTAAATAAGAGTGTTTACAGGGGCACGTATCACGTTGGGGTACGGGATCTGACCCCAAGCGTCTGTGTTCTCAAGGACATGTCAGCCATCAGTTGTAGACATATATCTGCGTAGGCATCACTGCAACTAAATTCATTGACCAACAGTATTCTTGGAAAAACACTGAATTTACAAGAATACTGTTGGTAAAAGTTAACAGATCTGACTCAACTGGTTGTCTGTAGTCAGATGTTCCATATACTTCCGGCACAGTGTAAACTTTTTCTATTGCAAGAAAGCAAATTAGCAATAGGCAAATAAGCAAATACGTAAACCAGCGGTTAACAAATAAGCAAATTAGCAATTCAGCAATTGGCAAATAAGCAAATTTGTCATTAAGCCTATCAGCCATTGGCAAATAAGCAAATCGGCAATTAGCAAATAAGCAATTCAGCAATTGGCAAATAAGCAAATTGGCATGTCCCTACCGGCATTCCATAATTTTTATTTATATTAATGTATTGGTATGTTTGACTATTCAGTGTAATATATTTATTCCTTAAACTGTCAAACATACTAAAAAATACTAGGAAAGATAGGGTTTTCATTTAACATGTTGATTACATCTTTTCTAAAGATCAAAGTTTGCTAGTTTTCAGCCAGAAAAGTGTAATGTGTCATATAGCAATCTTGCACAGTTTTCCGGTTTTTGTAGTTTTTGTTTTATTGAATTTGCATACGTTTCACAGATATAGATGAATGCTCAGCTGGTACAGACGCTTGTGAAGACGCCAGCTGCACCAATACAGTCGGTGGCTATACATGCACGTGCAATTCCGGGTTTACTTTTAAAACAGGCTCGAGTTATATATGCGAAGGTATTGATATTTCCTTGATTTAAATGATTGAATGTAAAGATCTCGAATGCATATACATACATGTGTGATGTGTCTGAATTAAAGGCCTATTATGTCTCCAAAAATAATATTTCTTTTCCTTATATATAAAAAAAAATTCTTTTATTTTTTGTTTGTTTTTGGTATCATATTACAATGTACAAAAAGTACTTCATTGATCATATATATGCACCTTCTTCTACTTCTTTGCAAATTAGAAATTTTAGTAAAGTTATAGTTATTTATTATTTTGTATTGAAATAAAAATACCACTATGTTTAAATTTGGCTACTCTTTTTTTAAAGAGTATAAACACATGTTTGTCCTTTCTAGGGAAGAAAATGTACTCATTGCTCTATGTTTTTAGATTTTCATATACGTCAGTGCCATACAAATATATATACCTTTTTACAATACGATAGTTCCATAGAAACGGAAGTAGCATTTAGCGCATGCGCATTTTGCATGAGGTAAAATGTTTAAACTTGATCGGACATTTCTTTCTTAAATGTTATCAGTGTGTGAGTATTTGGTCTGTAAATATGTTATGTCATTCTAATTAATGACCCAGTAGTATATACACGTTGATTATTATTTTTGTTACTTTATTTTTCATTATTTCAGATATAAATGAATGTTCGTCAAGTTCAACTAATGACTGTGAATCACCTGCCACGTGCGTGAATAACCCGGGAAGTTACACATGCAGTTGTCCCAGCGGTTACACAGTGTCTGGATTAGGCTGTGCAAGTAAGTGTTATTAGAAATGCATGCCTGAATAAGGGATTGAATTCTGACTCGCTTGGTTGACCTACTTTGACTTTGTAAGATATTTCAGTGTTTTAAATAAAAGGAAACATTGACAAGGTAACTGTGTCGAGTCTGGCCAGATTACACGTTGACCAAACTAGCCTGACCCTGTGACAGTGACAAAAATCCTTCACTTATGCTACAGCGCTCAGTGGTTAAATTCATCTTGAAGTATTGGTGAAGCTTGATAATTCAGAAATGACCTGACACAAGATCTGCTCTACTTTGAGTCGATTGCCCTTTCTTAAGAGTCTAGAAATGCCAGACCTTCTTTTGAAAAAAAAAACTACATGAACTTTCAAAAGTTATTTTTCAAACATTGCGCGGTGGTTGCTGGATGTTTTTTTATTTTACTTGTTAAAAGCAATATTTTTGTTTCAGGGTATATTAAAATGGACACAAGTGTTATGTAAATTATTTTGAAAAAAAATAAGTGTTGATTTTCTAAATGATTCAATTTTAAACTAATTTTAGATATCGATGAATGTGCTGACCCTACAACTAATGACTGTGACCCGGAAGAGGGACAATGCGCGGACACGCCCGGAAGTTACACATGTTCATGTATTGCCGGTTACACTGGGGATGGATTTTTATGCTCAGGTGACTTTTTCTATGTTCAATATTTGAAATCTTTGGTTGGATTCCTTATAACTATGTTTTTTATAACAGACACAGTTTCCATGAAAAGACTTCCACTTTATATAAAAGAGAAAAAAGGCCCTGGAAGTCTCGCAAAAATATTTCCCCAAAAAGTTGTTAGGTATCTATTATCATGAATGTATGGACTATAGGCTGTCGCATGTCAACATGGTCAAAGTATTGTTCTTTTTTATTATTTTTTTAGTACTTTTTGTATTTTTATTTTCGGCCTTTCAGATTTGAACGAATGCAACGAAAATGACCGAGGAGGTTGCGAGCAGGGTTGCGTTAATTCTAAAGGCTCATATACTTGTTTCTGTGGTAACGGTTATGTTTTAAATGGTGATGGCAAAACATGTGATGGTAGGTTTGGGTTGTCTTTATTTTCTTTTCTCAGTTCAATAAATAGGTTTGTTAAAATTTTATGTATACTGTATGGTTAGAAGTGTTCGTAACTGTTATTCAAAGATTAAAGAAAAATATACAAAATATCAATGACTGTACCACAGTGTTCTTAGTCCAAATTTCCTGTAACTTTATCGGCCAAGGCTGTTTACTTTTAAACTTTAAATAAGTTAAAATAAAAAAATACGATATTTTCATTATTTTGCTCATTCACCGATAAGCCATTGCAAGCATCATAGTTCTTTTTCTACATTAAAAGTTATTAATTAGATAATTAATCTAGAACAATAAGGTGATTGAATTGTATTTTTTGATAAATTTATTGATGCGTAGAATTAACGCTAGCGCTGCTTATGGGTTTTGCACTTTAGAACCAAATGACTGCACATTAATTTGGCAGTTTTCGTGTTAAACTTATCGTGTGGACTTCATTTTTTTAGATGTGGATGAATGTGCCTCATCATCGACCAACGACTGCTATGATAACTCCCACTGTACAAACATTGCCGGTGGCTACACATGCAGTTGCCCGGCCAACTTCATTCTAAAAGCAGACGGCAGGACGTGTGACTGTAAGTTGCATTGCTTTATGAACATTGTCTCATCAAATTTCTTGTTAAGTAAAAAAGGATGTGTGTTGTATGATGTATACAATACTATGTTTCATTATTTAACATGTATGATCACCGGATGAAAAAAACAAACCTTATACTTTTTAAATAACATATTTTCTTTTTAAAGATGTTCAAGTGTATAGCTATTTAACAAATATAAATAATTATATAATCTTTTGCATAGAGTTGAATAAAATATTTTTCATAACGTTACAGCTGTAGACAAATGCGATCCGAGCAACACTTGTGAATATGCTTGTAATAAAGTCAACGGCGCGGATGTGTGCACATGTGCAAAAGGGTACCAGCTTAACTCTGACGCCACCACGTGCAGCGGTAAGACAATGTATTCATACGCGATATGATTATAATTAAATATATATTCATATGCAAATGAAATGTAAAAGTATTTATGGCGAGATGGGATTAGTTTTCTTCTTTTACTGCTGATCTAAAGTGTAGATGTCTTGATATATTTGTTGTTAGTCTTCTCTTTTTATAATTCTTTTTCTATTCTGCTCCCTCTTTGCGATTGTATCTTTTGGTGACAACGTGTACTTTCAGTTTAATTTCATCCGTACATGAATTATTATGTAGTGATAATAACTGAAGTAAATATTTTTTGTGTTTTCAGATATTAACGAGTGTGCAACAGAAGGGGCTACATTATGTCCGTCTGCTAATAACGTAGTTTGTCAGAACACTGATGGAAGTTACAAATGTAAATGTGCAGACGAGAACCAATATCAGCAAATTGAGGAGAATAAGTGCAAAGGTGAGTATAAAACATAAAAAAAATGATTTAGTCAAACATGACCCTACTTCCATTTCATTGAGTGAGACTGAAAAAAGGATTGGAGCACCACACTAAATACCGTAATCCGGTAAATACCGGACAAGGCGCTTGAATGATTAAATGCTTAAAATATCGCCTTTTTACCCGACGGAATGAACAAAGCATAAAATTAGTCCTTTGGAACTATTTTCATATCTTTATTGCAGATATTGACGAGTGTTTAACAGGTGTTTGCGACAGTTTAGCTAACAGTAAATGTAGTAATCAAGACCCAGGATATGAGTGTGTATGTTTGACGGGCTATACACTTAACCAAGGAACCTGTGACGGTAAGCCACGCTTTACTAGTTGTAATTTTTTAAACCCCATATTGCTTATCCATAAGAATTTCATTCTGTCGTTTTGTGCTTTGATAATGTTACATACAATAAGGAAATGACACAATTAAATAGCTAAGTCATTTAACGTCTTTTCCATTAATAGCTCGTATAGATTCTTTCGTCTTTTTTCCGTATCTAAATCTTCCGTGTAGTTTATTTATGTGGAAAGCGTTATTTTTTAAAAAAATATTTCTAGTTGTTCCCGGTCATACAGACTCTTGTCTTATCTTTTTTAAACACGGAAAAAGACGAATATTTCCGGAATTTTCCGATATTGTGGCGAATCTTCTACATTAATTATCTTATTTTTATTTCCGTTCTCTTTTTCTGCAAATCGAATTTCTGAATGCAGATTTGGCATTATATGACTAAATAATATCGCTTCCAGTTGTATTTTGAGCTTACATATACTGAATAAAAATGGCCAAGTTACTAACTACTTTTACTGAAGTCACATAAAATTTACGACTATTCCAGTTGCAGAGAAACCATGTTTGACTAATTCTGTTTAAAGAAAAAGATGAAAGAATTTTTTATCGATTATTCTAAAAAGTTATTCAATTATTTAACACTGATCAATAGCGTCAATAGCAACAACAGTATCAATGAATAATCCCATTTTTATATACATGCATATTTACGCATATATTTCAGATATAAACGAGTGCACCAATGGCGATGCTGCTTGTCACTCTACTCTTGCCACGTGCACAAATATAAATGGCGGATACACGTGTGCTTGCAATTCTGGTTACCAAGGCAACGGCATAACTTGTACAGGTAACCAACCAAACAAACAAAAACAACAATACATATATAATATAATATAATATATATAATATAATATAATATTTATATAATATAATATAATGATTAGAAGCGTAAACATGTATACTTAAAGTATTATCACATCAAAGGTAAATAAGTCATTTTATAGAACAGTCTTGAGTAGAGGGTGTGGTATTGATCTTGTTACCAAGACCATTTATGTCTACAGCCACAACAATAGGTCCAATGGGAACCAAACGTATTCTGACATTTACAATTACAATGTATATACATGTATATAATCAATAACACTCCATGGAATCATAACAGATGAATATGTAATATATATTTATTTATATATTTTAATCATATCTTAAACATTGGGGTTTTCAATAGCTGAACATACAGTTTCATGCAGTGTTTATACACGTTTTTGTTTTAATTTTCAGAAATCGATGAGTGTTCATTGGGCACTCATGACTGTGACCCGGTCGGTTCTTGCACGAACACTGCAGGCAGCTTCACGTGTTCGTGTCCCAGTGGTTACACGTTGGCGTCTGATCAGAAGACATGTAATGGTAAGTACAAGTACCGTAATTAGTGTTTTATTACGTCAGTAATTCAAAAATACTTACAAGATATTTCTAAAAATAGATTATGATGTTACAAAGTTGATGATTGCAATTTTATATAATTTTTATCGGAGGATGGCGCATATATACATTATATATTCAAAGATAGCAACATAAATCAACACCATACCGTCAAATATATAATTTTATCTATTAAAGATATCACACACAAAGAATGATTTTTTCCATTATTTACTTTGTTTAAGATAATAACGAATGTACAGCTGGTACGGACGGATGTGCGGACACTTGTGTGAACACAATTGGAGGCTTTACCTGTACATGTCAGCCAGGCTTTACCCTTGCTGCAGACCAGAAAAGTTGCACAGGTATGCCATACATGTAGTAATAGTCATTTTGACGTAGATCGTAGGTGCTTGGTCTCGTAGCTTTTTTTTGCTATTGCTGAAAGTTTGTACCCCTGCTGTAAAATCACTTGTTTATACCTAGCATACTGTTTGAAAGCAATTCTTACAAAAATTGGCGGCCTTGACATCTATAATTAACAGCATATGATTTCTAACCATACGAATTTGCCAATGATCATATTAGATGTCACAAAAACAAATTTTATGCTGAAAATGCACTTTAAAAAAACAACCAGTCATTTAAATTCAGAATAGTCACTTTATCCAAGAAATCCTCCCTAACTGGCCATTCGAAGCTGTGGTTTCAATTAGTGCGGTGTGATGCCTTTTAAAATGTTGCTCTTTATATTAGTTTTGTCTGCCATCATTGTTGGTGAATTTTCACAAGTTAGAAACATTGAGATAACCAAAAGAGCTGTTCAGTTGAATGGCACTGATATACTTACATATTTTTCGTAAATGTTTTTCAGTTGAGGTGCAATGTGATTCGGCGTTTGAAGCTCTTTGCGAATCGGGATGCGCACGCATCTCTGGTACTGACACGTGCACCTGTAATGGCGGATTCACCTTAAACGCTGATGGAAAGGCGTGCGACGGTAAGTCAGGAACATGGTTAATCAAAAACTTATTTTAATTTACAGATGTAGTAGATGTATATTTTTTCCAAAAGAATATCGGTTCCCTACATATTGCAATTAATAAAATGAACGCTCGTGCTATAAATAGGCATTTAATCAGAGATTTTTTTTATTTAAGGATTCTGATTTCATTGCAGATATAAATGAATGTTCAACACAGTCTCCGTGCGATCCAACGAGAGGTGCATGTACAAACACAGTGGGTGGTTATACATGTGCTTGCCAGGATGGCTATACCCTAGGCACAAATAACGCTTGTAATGGTAAGTATACTGGTATAAATCTTAACCATTTGGCCTCTAGTGGGGCTGTGACTACTTGTCAGAGCGATGCAAACATGTAAACAAAAATGTATACCCTTATATGGCTACAACCACATCGTACTTTGACATTGTTTTGACAAAAATAAACAATGGATTGTTCCAAACTCAAGGTATTTCAGAGTCGTTACACAAATTAAGCGATAAAGCGCAAAATTTCATGGTAAAGCTAGCACTCTTCCTGCGGGGACAGTCAGATTGAAAAAATCCTCAATATGTTCCCCCGGCGAGTGTCGCATTACCACAGCTGATTTGGGCGGAAAAAAACAACAACACACAAACATTCAGCGGCTGTAAACCTTGGCTCATTTCCTTCGCTTTATGAAGCACTGCCATGGAAGTGAAGGCATGTTTATGATTCAATCGGCGCTTCACATCGGCTTTATTGCCCTTATAATGCTATATATAAGATAGACGAGTTTGAATTTAGCTTGATAAAGAGGATTTTAAGTTCAGCGCTATACATTTGTTTTGGTACTTTACAGATCGTGATGGCGGACTCTCATTTTGGAGTCAATGGTCTGACTGCTCGGTCACGTGCGGTAGTGGTGTAAAGACTCGAACCCGAAGTTGCACAAACCCTACAGTGCAGGGTAATGGTGCTCCTTGCACCGGGGACACTACTGCAACAACTGTGTGTACACTAGAGGCTTGTGCAGGTGAGAAACTGGAAAAAATAGAGAAAGAATAATGTGTTACTATTACATTTGTATATAAAATATTAAAAACTATGTAAAAAATGTGTAGTTCAGCTTTGAAAGACATTTTTGAAATCCTTAAAATAGTTTTGTAATAATTGAAGATAATCTTATTGAAGAATCTGGAATACATAAATGAGATTAAATCAATTTATTCAGAGTTGACATCCAACTGATGCTTTCATGCTATCGAGCTGTAAAAAAATGTTGGGAATGATTTGTGAAATGGGTGTGGTTTGTGATATGGATGTGATCTTTTATATGCGTGTGGTTGTTTGACACTGACGTGCCTTTGTTGTTAGTCTGGTCTCTGGGTTGAATGTGTCATATGGGCGTGGTATGCGATATGAGTGTTGACTGTGGTATGAGTTTGGTCTGTGATATTGGGTGGTTTTGTATATAGAAGTGGTCATTGATTTGGGCATGGTCTTTGATTTGGACGGGGTCTTTTAATGTAAAGTAGATATACAATATCATGATTGAGTTGAATGATTAGCTATGATGTGATTTGTTAATTATAATATATGGCAATTTTTTTAACAGTTTCTACACAAGAAAAGGAGCACGGTGTATCAATAGCTTTCTCAGGAATCACAATTACACAGGTAATTTATTCAATCATAAAAATTTCTATTTTTATTCTTGAAAACAAGAGATAAAAAGATGGAGCTGTATAAATGGATAACAATATTTTATTTTCGTGGCACTTACATTGTATTGGTTATGTTCAGAAAATAGAATAACTATAACGCAACAACCTTGTTAAATATTAAAATAATTTATCTGTCAAATTATCTTTGGGAAAAAAAACAACAACATCAACATGTTTGAACATTAAATGGAAATAAATTCATTGCAATGATATGTTATTTCGTTATGCATTAAATTTATTTATTTTCGCAAACTTCAGCAGTCGACATTTTGCAGTCAACCCAACAGCGAGCTTTTTTAAAAATAACATTTACATTAATTAATACATGTTTGTTATTCCTTCGACATAAACACTTAGATATTATAGATAACTGTACTATATTACTAAATAATTTAAATATGTGATTATAATAAAGAACCATTTTCTGATATTTTAGTTCACAGAAGTAAAGTCCCAATTTAGGTCAAGCGTTGCCGGAGCTGTAAATTCATACTGTAATCAGAACGAGGCTACTGCAAGATATTGCTGCGGTGATAGCCTTACATATAGGTAAGTTGATTTTAATATTCACAGTATGATGGTTAACTGTCACCCGAAGTTACCTTCAATGGATAAGTACTTGGTCACATGTGGAGAAGTGGATAACTACTGGTTAGTTATCCGGAAAACCCGGTATGGTTGACCGCTGTCCGAGAGATTATCAAATTATGTTAATCAAAAATAAAAAAACAAAACAAAAAAAACAGAAAAACAAATCATTCATTGTGTCTGTTAAATCTTGCATGAGGTTATCGCCCCTGATGACTGTCGGAAAAATGTTAACCGAAGTCACCGCCCTTGGTGATAGTCTATGAATTAAGTGTACCGACTCCTCCCCTTATACAACCCCCAGAAAGATAGGTATACCGCTCAATACGTTTGGCTAAGGGGTATGTTAATTCAATTAATAAATGTATCACAATTTTCAAAGCAAACTTGTTCTCATGAAGCACATTGTATGTATTAAAATTGAAAGTGTCTGATGACAATGTTCAAATCATCTGAAAGAGACCTTAATGTCAAAGAGAGTTATATTACATAATTATTAAATATAGCTTTGTGCTAATGCAGGAACGTTCTTTTCATGTAATTCGTCAGATTTCCGTGTTCCTTGTTAAGCACGGTTAAATTTGTTCATATCTTTTAGAAAAATTTAGACTTCTGTTTGGAAACTGATTTTTATAATCAGGTAGTCATTGAAAATTATCTTCATTTATTAATATGCAAACTGTCGTTTTCAATTTCAGCTCAACAACGTCAAAGTTATTTATAACCTCAGATGACGTAATTATTAGTGACGGGTATCCGACGGTTGATAATGACGGTAATGTTGTTGTGGTGTTTGTCCTTCGTTATGACTCAACGAATGAGTTATGCTCATCAGGGTCGGCGAGTCGACGGAAAAGGGCAATAACTCTTTCAAGTACGCAGAGTCTGATGACGCAAACAACGCTTTTGCAATTGATTGATTCACGGTAAGGAGGCTGTTAATGTGATAAGTCATGGGCAAAATGGCTTACGATAATATTTATCAGCATTTTTAACATTGTATAATTAATAAAGAAATATTGAGCGTGGTATAAAGTTACAATTTATCAAAATGATCTACTGGTAAAGCAACCGAATTGATTCTAAAGTAAAGAAAATAAACGTAAACTTACTCCCTTTCCTTCGTAATAAATGGAAAATGTTCATTTTTGTTACTGGATTGAATAGGTGAGCAAAGAAAAACATATTAGATTTTTAAACAAACAAATTTATATTTTGCTAAAAACTACAGCTTAAAGTAAGAATGTTTAATTACTGATCCATCCAAATTATGGTCGCATAATGTAGCAAAGAATTACACTTCATACGCTTTTTCATTACAGGCAAACTGTGATAGTTACAACCTTCACGACACAGATACAGTCTGCGACCGGGTCCACGTTAACTTTAACGATTGAATCAATAAAGGTTGTCGATGATGGTTCAACGCCAGGAACGGTTAGTGTGAAGCCCAATTAATCTTCAATTAGAAACATTTTGATTTTGAAATTTTCTATCAGTGTCCATCAGCTTGTTATACTTGTGTGTTCGTTTATGTTTATTTCTTTTTCCATTTACACAAAAGAATGATACGTGTTTTTGGCCTTACATAATGTTGGACACGGTATGTCTATTCATTTGAAATTCTGTAACTTTTTCTTTTATGCCTTATTAAACAGTATATTTTGTCTAAATTTAGCTCTTTGACAACATGTGATCGCAAGTTGACAGGATATTTTGTTATACAGTAACTGTTCTTTTATGAGAAAAGTACATGTATTGTTTTATTAAATACAAAATGCGATACTGCTACCATATAAATGGTGAACCATATATGTGGTGAAGTATACTTTTAAATAAAAATATATTTACATGCTTTATTCTATTCTAGGACACTAAAAAGCGCGGCACACCAGCCTGGGTGATTGCACTTGCTGTTGTGGGTTCGATACTTCTGCTGGTTCTGATCGTTGTCATAGTGATAATTATAATCAAGTTGTAAGTCCAATATTTCTGCTTTTTAATTTGATGCTTAACATCATTAAAAAAATAATGCATGTGTACATAAAATACTTAAATGCCAGTGCTTCGCTTTTTGAAAGTCATCCGTCTGTATCATTTTATGAGCAGGTTGTTCATAGTCATAGATTAGAAATAAATAAATAAAAACAAAAGGCTCACTGCTGGAGGGAGGTAACTAAGTCTGCTATAAGACCGCAGCATTAGGGACTTTAAGAAAGCTGTTCTGGTGGTCTGTAATATTGTTACAAGCGAAATGAACTTTACAAGTTACTATCAAGTATGAATATGTATAGCATGTTACACTTGTACTTAATAAATTTCGATTCATTTTTCGATACAAAAATAGTGTTATTTTGTTATTGAAATGTATTTAATATTTCGATTAAAATTTGACAGGAACATGAAAAACAAAGTGGAGGTAGTTGAGGTTATGGGAGGCGAAGGGTCGAACAATCGAAACCAACCTACGGTAAGAAGAACGACAACTGTACGCCAAGCAGACGAACCTCGACATCTTCCAGGAGAGGCGGGACCAGGAAGACAAGAAGCGCCGCCCAATCGGGGCAGTCCAAGGGGAGGAGGCGTTGTGACCTTGGCACCAGTTGATGATCCCGATTTATCGCACGTATAGGGAAAAAGATAAATAAAAATGTTCTAACTCAAGTAATACATGTTATTTTATACTTAACAATTATACTTTTTTATTTAAAAAAGTATGATTTCTAATTAATATAATCTGTTTATAGATTGAAATACAAACAATTCAACAAAACTGCCTGAAATCAAACACTTTATTTTTTATCTTAAAGAAATATGCTTGAATAACGTTTATTTAATAATTGATGTGTGAATCGGTGTTGAAGAATTGTAAAAGAGAAATCATATTGTAAATTAATACATGTATGTTCACGAATATTGCCGGTTTGTTGAAGGACATATAGCGTTATTGCCTGTGATAAACAAGTTGTATAATATTGTTGTGTATAGTTAAAGTTTATCTTGTATTGTAAATCTCATCAAATGTAATTGGTTTATCATTTTCTTATGCCAGCTTATGAAATCGGTTATTTATTATTTTTTAATAAAACTTAAGTCATAGCGTATCATCTAATAGTACTTTGATATTGAGATGATTCTATGAAAGTGTTTATGACTATGCGAAATAAAAAAAAACCCGATCTATTTGAGCCGCGTCACAACAAAACCAACATAGTGCGTTTGCGACCAGCATGGATCCAGACCAGCCTGCGCATCCGCGCAGTCTGATCAGGATACACGATGTTCGCTTACCAACTCTATTACAAATAGAGAAACTGATAGCGAACAGCATCATACATAATACATATAAGATACATTATTTCAAAACAAAAATAATTTGCGTTACATAAGCTCCGTCACTAACCTGTTGCGATTGAACGCATGTTAAAACACCAATTGTATGTTTGCCTGCAGTGGTATATGTTCATAAAATATTAAGTAGGCCTATATTGAAAATTAGATGTGCACTGGTTTTTCTTAAAAGAATGACATAGATGAAATTGACTTTGTCATTTGGGATTTTTCAAAAGTAAATTTTTGTGAAGATTTATTATTTTTTTTAGCTCGGGATAAAAAGCTTTCGTGCATGAAAATCTTTTTTTTCTCCGTCAATGTTTGGCGGCCGTAGATATATATTCAGTATAGGTTATGATTGGGTTTTAATATCTGATTGCCACTTGCCACATACGAGTAGGAATACAAGAAGCAAATTAGATAGGGCAATTCATTTTTTAATTCAGCTGGACTGACCAAATATCATTTTATACCTTTCGATGCTACAACCGGAAGTGATTGGCCTTTGTCACCAGTATAGAGCCAGGATAGCCTACACGTCCATGCAATCTGACAAGGCTCTATACTGTTGGTTGCACAAGTTTTGTATATCCATATTGAAACTCCTTTACCTTTGACCTTAACTGTTCAAAGTTCAAAGCAGGGTAATTTGATTTACATAGAATTCAGCTGGTGTAGGATTATTGTATACCAGTGAGATTTTTGTTTTATTTATTATTTTTATTCTAAATGGTTAAGCCCTGAAGAAACCACATATCTGTAAACGCTGTGATCCTCGATTTGTTGTTGATATTTTTAATGATTATACATGTACAATGTTATATGAATTAGTGTTTGTTAATATTTTAGTATATATAATATGTGAGTATATATATAATTATATTGAAGTTTTTAAGATATTTTATATTTTAATATACTATATATTGTGAAATTAAATCCGTCCAGTGTTTACTTAGATAATCACGTGACGTTACTTGGTCACAAATTATATCTGAATGAAATTTTAAAAGCTCAACTTAGGTATAGAAACTTTAATTATTTCAAGGGTGGGTGGTAAACTGTTTAAGCCTATGTCATAACAGATCTCATGCATTCTGACCTGACCTCATGTGCGGATCGGGAGAGAAAGGGGCGGGTAGGGGGTACATGACGCACGTTGGTTAGCATGTACAATACCTCAGAGATTTGTATCTCAAATAACGTTTTAGCGAAAATCACGCAACATGACCCCGTCTGGAAAAGTAATAAAATGTCAACAACCCACCCCCTCTTTTAGAATATGTCGAAATTTAGCGACCACCTCTGATAAAAACATTCCTGGTTCCGCCCTAGGGTTTTATGTCATAAGTTGATAATATATATTTATATCCATTCCCACAGATTAACAGATTTGGACGATTTTTAAAACAGGGTCATTCGCAAAGTAAGGACCATACAAAACCATTAAATTTCATGCATTCATATAAATGCAAATGAAAACTATTTTGACCGATCAATATTCAAATAAATATTTTTATTTGTTGTAAAATCTTGAGTAAATTTTAGCCTATTTTACATACAAATAAAACATATCATGCATAAACGAGATCTTATTATTCTTCTTTCAAGATAATTTTTGAAGAAATCAGTGTAAAATAACCATTGTACATATCGCGTCCGTTTTGACGTGAAACTTTTCCAAGAATGTTATACCTTAGAACTAAAAATCTTGGCATTATTATTTCCCTGTTTTTCGTTTCTCTTTTCTTTTAGTATTTAACATATTTACGTTATATTGATATTTTGCACGCCAGTTTAGAGAGCCTCGGGTCGTTGTAAAAGACTTATTTTTTCCGTTCTTTATTATATCCATATTTATTCTTTTCTTTATGTTTTTCTACTCGACAAAGCACATTTCACAGTTAACTGTAAAAAATGATGACATAGGTACATTGTATATTTTTGAAGTGATATCTGAGAGTAAAAATCAGGGGCCAAGAAAAATGAAAAGTCCAGGGAAAAAAAACGTACAGGGTGCATTACTTGTAACAATATTAACAGTGTTAAAATGTGCTGCAACTACATATGTGTTGTGATTGACAAATTGTTTTATTTATATGATTAACTATTTTGTTTCCTTGCCTTTTAAAATTGTTAGTATAGATCTATGATGATAATTTGACATTGTCTTTACATTACCAAGATGGAAATGTTGTTATTTACTTTACATTAATTTACCAAGATGATTATTTTGACATTTTCTTTACATATTCAAGATGACAATTTTGATATTAATTTTACAATTAAAATAATGATAACTTTATCTGTTGTTTAAATTGGATTAGATAAACATAAACATATATGATGTAGTACTAATTGGAATTCTATAAGTATCCCATAAGCCAAATTATCATCTTAGTTCAGTACAATACCATTCTTTATTGTCTTAACATAAACATTTAGTTTATGAGTCAGACCTACAACTTGTATTTAAGACTTAAAAAATGCGGTGGCTGAGCTGAGCTCTGGTAAATTCAATGTGGCTTACTGTCGTGATCCAGAGTGAAAACTACCAACACCACCACTACCACTGTAATTATTTGATATATTCTTATATAGTTTGCAGCTCAATATATCATTCATGATGTCAAATTATGACATGACGCCAGATAATCACGTCACTTTACTATTCATTTTGAACTGGATATGCCACAATTATTTCATGTTGTTTTTTAACATCTTATTAAAAATCATTACTAGTATGTTTCTATTTTTTAATTTAAAAAAAGCATAAAAATATGATTTTCAATTGATTTCAAAGTATATTTTTAAACTATATTTGCATATATTTCTGTTTAAAGTGCTCCAGCTCATTTAAGTAAGAAATTCAAATGTTATGTTTTTAGGCTTTTAAACCTCAGTGGAGTTTCTTTAAATACACAAGGAGTACTAATATAAAATAAATATGCAAATGAACCTTAGAGTCATTTAGTTTATCACAAAAAATCAATAAATTACTTTTTAGATTCACAACACCTTCATTAGAAATACTTATTGTATAAAGTTCTTTTCCAGAGATAAACCTTTTTATCTTAACGTCAAAATTCCCTCTTAAATATTTTTCGTGTGTTAAAATTTGTTAAAAATTATCATCTTTGTCTATATTAATTTTAGGTATTTTGTATAAAGTTTAAACATTCCACATTCGGATGGAAAGTGTATATATTTCATTCCAGTACTGGACAGTTTGTATTTAATTTAAAACGAATCCATGATGCTTTACATAGGCAAGACAAAGTACTGAATAAAATGGTTTCAGATAATTTTATTTATTTATGCCCCAGAAATGATTTTAATTCTATGTCTCTAAAGCTTTTTACTTTTGGTATCGTAAAAGATTTAAAAATGCTACTCATTGGTCGAGAGCCTAAAACATTTTTTAGCTTCTGATGCTATTGTTAATTGGAAAAGTTATAGTGATTTGGTATTTTGTTTGTAAGTCAAAATACTAGTCTAGTACTTTGTTTACATTTTGCTGTGGTGACAAGTATCTAGCATGCTCTAAAACCATAATTTTAACATTTTAAAACTCATCTTTGCCTTTTCGAATTCATATTTTCAGGCATATGAGCCTTTTGAAAATGTGTACATAATTTAGTCTTTCAGTATTTATGTAGACTTTGTTACAACTTATTTCTGTGATAAACCGAGCATAAAAAACAAAACAGTTTAGTATGGAATTGATCTATTTTTAGACACGATAGTTTTTCTCATCAAGGGGCAGTTTTACAAACGAAAAAGAAAAAAAAAGAAAATCACTCATTTCTAATCAAAAACCAATTCTAACTTTTTGTACAAATTGTTATTGTTCTTACGTGCAATAAAAGTTGTTTTTAAAAAAGTTTGTTCTTTTTAATATATAGCAAAAAAAACCGGATAAAACTATCTGTACGTCTGTGTATGCCAACCGTCTATCCGTGTTAAACGAGTTCCATTGGCCCGTGGCAATCGTTCGCATGCATTGAAAATAGCATACATATTTTGAAATATATGAACGACAAAGATCCATAGCCATACATAATAACCAATGAGCTATGTAGTTTAAAGGGATACTCAGGCAAAATAATGGCAAAAATATAAAAATGATTTTCTGTACTCAAATCACCCTAAAATGTCATTTCTTAAAGTCCCAACATGAATTTCTGTATAAATTCTATATATTTTGGGTTTGAAGTTTAAATATATCTATATATGTTGTACGAAATTTTGACGCGAACAGAATCACCGAATAGTTTAAAAACAAGTCATGCGATTTGAACAAACCCTGGAAGTTACAATAACAAATATTGTGGATATTGTATGATTGAAACAAGTCTAAGTAATTGATTTGACATGTTTTTAAACGTTTCCAGAGTACAGAGTGACAACTATTGTGAAATTTTAGCGCTCTAACCTGACCCACGCGGGTCAAGTTAGGAAAACACCATTTTATTCTTTATATGGAGAAAAGTTTTGTTCCTTTGACTGTTTAGTGTATTCATTTTGAGGACATTTACAGAATAATGAATGAAAATTTCAAAACTAAGAAATGAAAATTTTGCCTGTGTCTCCCTTTAAGGCCTAACTCTCTGTCTGATGGTGGCAACTGAATCTACCTATACGACAAGTGCAAACCATGATCGACTTTCCTTTACAGAAAGTTACTTATTCAATGGGAATAAATAACACGCCTAAGCGACCCCCCAGTAACTTGACCAACAAGACGTTTTATAAGCATTGCTGGTTTTTGACAAATTGTCAAAATTTCTCATTTCCAAGTTAAAGGAAATATAAATAATAGTCAAAATTCTAACCTGCCATCTTTAATTGTATTCAAAAATGTAATAATAGTGAACAAGTATTTCATGTTTAAATTAAATAATCTTTTTTTTATAGTTTTTGTTAAGACAGTTGAAAAAGCGTTATAGTTTTGCAAACAATGTTTGGATTATCTGCCCCTTTGAAAAAAATAACACACTCTGAAAGTAAATATGTTCATCAAGTTTGAAGGAAACAGCTTTCATTCGAAAGAAAATGACACAAGGTCTGTCGTGAAAGTTCACAAAGGACTGTGAAAACTTGTTCTGTTGTTACATGTTTTGGAAAATCACCTAAATTTATAACCCATAGACATAGAGGATGATCCAAGCAACTAAATTTAGCAGTTTAGGAAATTCATTTATCATGCAAAACATAAAAGTATTTCGGTAGGTCGCAGAAGGCTACATTTCAGTCAAACTACATGACAGAATTACAGGCCGTAGTCAGTTTTCCACAATTACTATTTCAAAGATAAGTGCGAGACCTGATGTGAAAGCTTCAATTACATGTTGACCCTTAGCCTGCTCATGTAAACACTGTTCGCTATTCAGTAAGTACAAATCCCAGTGTTCCCATTCACACACATATATATGTGCGTATTTAAGGCATAAATGTACAGAAAATTAGGTAAGAACGTAAAAATACGCACAGAAAAATCGGAAACTTAAAAATGTATAATTCAAAAATCATTCTTGGGAGCAATATCTCAAACAGAAATCACTTAAATTGCATTGAAATTTGATGAAAAGCAAGAAAATCTCTCGATATACAATGAAGTTTTTGCCGTAAATTACAAATTTGAAACTTTTGTCTTACAATGCCTGTTAGTATAGCCGATGAAAAACAATCTTAAAATTTTCAAAAAATATTAATTTTTATATAATTGTAATCAACAACACTAGAATTGTGAAACAAATTTCCATTTGTCACATATTTTCGCGACGTCATTTTTCGTAATTAAAAAAAAATCACCAAAAAGGAAGCTTTTATCATTTTGTTTAAAGGTGTGTAGTAACAATTTATATGCTGTTAATGAATTTAAATAACTTAAATAATGGTTACATTAATTGAGATGGAGATATATGTCAGTATGTGTTGGTCACAATAAATTTTACCTAAAAGGAGGGGGTGAATCATGAAGAAAGCAGCATTATAGTCTGATGTATGGTTTTTGAATTATTCTTCAAATATATTCATTACTTTTTTAAAGGTACAATATTTCCTATTTGGGACATATTTCCATTTTCCTATATAAGCATTTTCTCTGTTATAACTCTGACCCCCCCCCCCCCCTCATCCCCTCACTCTTCTTATTCATCAACATTCAACTGCAGCAAAGCAGCTTAACATAATTTGGACTCATATTTTCTGGCTTGGGAGTCCCAGGACTCTTACTTTGAAAATCCCAGTGAGAACTCTGTTAAACTACATGTAAAACACATTTTGCACTTAAATTAATCATACTTCATATAATTATTGTACAAATTTATGTACTTTTTATTTTACCCCCAGCTTTCAAAGGTGGGAACACTGAAGTCCCCATCCCCCCAAAATATGAATGGTTTGAAAGGTGCACTTCAGATAATTCAGACTGCATGGTTAATGAAATTTGAAGATACATGCAAAACTTTTAAGTGTTGCCCAGACTCCTGGGCGAGTAGATTGGACCTCTATTCTAAGTTCACTAAGAAAATAACAAGAAAGCAAACAAACATAAAAATATTCTCCTTTATTGTATAAATTAAAACAAACAATTTCAAAGAATTGAAATACTTCTAAGTAAACACAAACTGTATTTTGTAAACATTAAACAACCATAAATCAGATCAAGTAATCAAATAACTTGCTTTTAGTTTACTTTCATACTTTTTGTACAACAAAAAATACAAGAAAAAATTGCCCCTTCAATTTTGCAATTTATAATGACCTTCAGTTATCAAAACCTGGCATACAGACTTCCATAATAGAATACAGTGTAACCTCTGTGTAGAACAATTCCCTCTTAACAACAATCGAATCAAGTCTTCAACAAGAGCACCGCTAGGCGGAGCATTATATGCCCGAAAGTGATTTTTTTTAGTAAAGATGAAGCATTTGTAAGACATGGGAATTAAATAAAGTATTACCTCCTTCAAATAACAATCCTCCTATGAAGTTTCAATATTGTGGTCCAAATGCAACTTAAGTTATGCCCCGGAATCTGTTTTCAGTTCTAAGGTAATAGTGACCTTGACCTTTGACCCCAAAATCAATAGGGGTCTTCTTCCCAATATGGACAATCATTCTATGAAGTTTGAACACTGTGGGCCAAATGGAACTTAAGTTATCCTCAAGAATCTGTTTTCAATTTCTAAGTAATAGTGACCTTGACCTTTGACCTTGAGACCCCTAAATCAATAGGGGTCTTCTACCCAATATGGACAATCATCCTATGAAGTTTGAACACTGTGGACCAAATAGAACTTAAGTTATGCTCCGGAAACTTTTTTTATTTTTAAGGTCATAGTGACCTTTACTTTTGACCTTGTGACCCCAAAATCAATAGGGGTCTTCTTCCCAATATGGACAATCATCCTATGAAGTTTGAACACTGTGGGCCAAATAGAACTTAAGTTATGCTCCGGAAACTGTTTTTAGTTTTAAGGTCATAGTGACCTTGACTTTTGACCTTGTGATCCCAAAATCAATAGGGGTCATCTACCCAATATGGACAATCATCCTATGAAGTTTAACACTGTGGGCCAAATGGAACTTAAGTTATGCTCCGGAAACTGTTTACAGTTTAAAGGTAATAGTGACCTTGACCTTTGACCTTGTGACCCCAAAATCAATAGGAGTCTTCTACCCAATATGGACAATCATCCTATGAAGTTTGAACACTGTGGGCCAAATGGAACTTAAGTTATGCTCCGGAAACTGTTTTCAGTTTAAAGGTCAGAGTGACCTTGACCTTTGACCCCAAAATCAATAGGGGTCTTCTACCCAATATGGGCAATCATCCTATGAAGTTTGAATATTGTGGGCCAAATGGAACTTAATTTATGCTCGGGAAACCAAATTGCTAACGGACAGACAGACGGACGGACGGACAGACAGACGCCAGGGGGTATAACATAATATGCCCGAAATTCTTTCGGCATATAAAAACTATATATTACACTAATTTTATCTTCACTAGAACAACACCTTTCAACAACACTCTCAAAGGTTGCTACCCTGAACAGGTTGTATCTTTACTTTAGGGGCAGGATTTCTGTAATTAGTGTAGTTCACTATTAGGCACTGTTACAAGTCAATTATCTATGCTCATTGCCATGTTATTTAAAGGCAACAGGTAAAATTTAATATTACCTTTAATAAAATCAACATTTGATTTCTTTATGGGATATCATTAAAAGTTAAACTTTCTAATTGAGGGTAATATACAAATGTAGCTTTTTTCATCAATAAAGAATGAAATTGTTTTTCTTTAAATTACTATTGAAAATATAAAGATATTCAACGCTTATAGTAACAAAATTTAATATAATAATGTTCCAAAAAATCATGCAAAATCTGTATTAAATTAAGTCAACTCGACAAAAAAGTGTAAACAATCACATCTGAGTGAAATATTCCTGATATTCAAGTCATTGAGCATGCTTGAAAAAATAATATGAGCCGTGTCATGACAAAACCAACATAATGTGTTTGCAACCAGCATGGATCCAGACCAGCCTGCGCATCCGCGCAGTCTGATCAGGATCCATGCTGTTCGCTTACAAACCCTATAACAAGTAGAGAAACTGATAGCAAACAGCATGGATCCTGATCAGACTGCGCGGATGCGCAGGCTGGTCTGGATCCATGCTGGTCGCAAACGCATTATGTTGGTTTTGTCGTGACATGGCTCATATTATGAAATTATGGGGAAAAAAAAACCCAGTCTGATAAATTACGATCCATTTTGCCATTTTCTTCTGAACATTAAGATCTTGCTTGTACAAAGATGGTTTCTTGAGCATGTAGGCCGATATCCCTGAGAGATGCCTCGTAGTCTAACTGCGAAAGTTGTCGTCGTGGAAACTGAGCTATCAGCTCAAAGCGCTCGTTGGAAAATCCTTTTGACCCAACAAATAAAACCAATGCCTAAAAACAAATAGGAAAAAAATATTCTTCATAATTTTAAATGCTTTATATAAAATGATCTATTTAATGATAGCTACTGGTGGTAACCCGCTTCTACCCACACAATAAATACAGACTAAGATCAGCCCATACATCTGTGCCGTCCGATTATGATCTTTACAATGACTTATATAGTGAGTACTTAGTATGAAATTTTTCCCCTTAATTATACACTGAATGATTTTGTCTAGATTTATAGATGAACAAATCTTTTTTTATGATACTAAGCATGGTAAGTGTTTACCAATTTGTTCCACTTTACACTGTACAGCTAAAGATTGCTGTATAAAACTAATTCTAGCCCCAATAGCCATGCCCCTACAGATGTTAAACTCCTCTACTCCCCCACAAAAGATAGATATGAAAAGTATCAGAACATACATGTACATGACGGCACTATAACATAAATTTTTAACTGACATTAAGATTGCATCAACTTTTCTATTATCTTTTCAGATCACATAATCAATTTAATTTCCGAACACACTTTGCGTTTTTATGAAAAGATAAAAAAAAAAGTATGTACATCTGCCTCATCTCCAACTGGTAATAAAAGAGCCTTTTACTAACAATGTATTTTAATTATAACTTTATCTAAACATGACTGTGTAGAAAGCACAGGCCCACTTCCTCAAACTAACCAATACTGACGTCATAATTATGAGAAAACATGGATGTAACTAGAGAAGAGCTTAAACCCCTACTTCAAAGTTGAGTGGCACTAGGCTCTCCTTCACCTTTAACACTCTGGAATCTAAAATTAACAGCCTTTGCCACCAAAAAAGAGCCAAGCTAACCAGCTCCAAATTTTCTACTTGATATCCCCAACATTGATAATGGATAGTAAAGTCCATTTGAGAAATTTAACAAGCTCTTGGTTACAAATAAGAACTTTTTGCCTAAACACATTATCTTAAATGACTCAACACTACCCTAAACAAGTTGGTTATCTAAAATGTTTTCTTTCACAAATTAATAAAAAGTTATGTAACAAGTACAAAATACATACCAACAATTTAGAAGAGAATGATATACAAAGTCTCTCCCTCTGGCCATCTGGTAACCGTAACATTAATGTTGTCTTTTCATCTAAAATTATAGAGATAAATATATGGTAAACATGGTATCTATGTAATATTTAAATAATGTTTTGATTCAATAACTATATCAATTCTTGGAATGTAAGTAACAACACTGTCTTGCCTTTAACAAAACCGTAAATTAAAGGATTTAACTCACTACAGTGTTGCAACAGTACCTCCAGATGCTTGCAAAAATCATGATCACAAACTAGAAAACAAGAACCGGTTGAACAGGGTGATGCTCCAAGAGAAGGTTTTGGACACAGGAAAGTATAAAAAAAACGAACAAATGCAAAAACTCCAAAACAAGGCAAGGCAAAGTTATGGGTTTTTGCACTGCACTTCTATTCAATGAGATCTAACTATCTATAAAGTTTTGTGATGATATCTCTTATAGTTTCAGAGTAATGTCCCGTGTAAAATTCAAAGTGTAACAAGAGCTGTCAGTAGGACAGCAACGCTTGACTATGCTTAGTGCTTGATAGTAAAAAAAGCCTTGATAATGTAAAATTTTCTAAGTTAAAAAGGAGGGCTAAATTTTTCTTTAAATCCATGTTACAGTTATAGGTCTTGAAGAAAGTCCTATTTTGCTTTCAAACAAGAGTATAAAATTTCAACTTGTTTCAAAGCCAGATGTTAATAGAATATGAAAATATCTGAGGTGGTATGCAAACTTAAATGTAAATTCTAAGTTAAAAAGGGGCATTATTCTGCCAAATGCTTGATACAGTTACTTAGTGAGACCTATCTACCTACAAAGTTTTATGTTGATAATTCTTATAAATTTAGAATAATATCCCGGACAAAGTTCAAAGTGTTAAAATGAACAAAGGGCAATATTTCAAAAATTAGGCAAGGCAGAGTTACGGTTCTTGTGCACTGCACACCTACTCGATGAGATCTATCTACGTAAAAAGATTCATGTTGATACCTCTTGTTGTTTCAAAGTTATGTCCCAGACAAGAAAAGCGGACGGAGGGACAAAGCGGCAACTATATGCTCACCCTTTGGAGAGCATAAATACTGCTTTTACAGATTTTTACATTTTTTATTCATTATCATATATATATAAATCAATAAATTAGTCATATTAAAGTGGATTTCTGTGGGTGTTAAGGCCAGATTTTAGAATTTTGATTAAAGGATCTTGTCTCGCAATCTAGGTTAAATAAATATGTTTAAACCAAGGATCTTGTATGCTATATACCGGAAGACAGCATTTAGTGTGGTGCTCTAATAATTTTTTTAAACAGCTGTAGCAATAACATTTTCCTCTACAAAAAAGCCCATCTCACTGAAGTGGAAACCCTACCTGTTTCTGGCCCTAGAAATGACCTATAATCCCTGTGGTCAGTTGCAATGTCCATAGATTTATCACTTTCGGTTTCACTACTTTCACTAGCACTTTCTTTCACTGGTGTCTCCTCTTTGGCAGAACAATCCTCAGACATTGAATTTGTACGAATATTTTCCAAAACTGCTGGATGGACATCGTTATGAATACTTTCTGATTTAAGAGGGGATGATGTTTTTGATGGTGATAATTTTCTTCGTAAGGGGGATGTCTTTCTTGGCGAGGATATACTTTCAACACAAGGAGACCTTTTTCTTGTCCTTTGGGGTGAACACTTTCTTTGAGGTCTTTGTGTTTCAAAGGTACTACTAGAACCAGCCAAAGGGGAATTACACCTAACACTTCTCCGTACTGGAGAGCTTCTAGAATTTGACTTGCTAGATTGTTCGTCGCCTGAGTTACGATTCGGGGAATGTTTACGCGTTGGTGATGATTTTCCGTGAGAAGCTGATTTAGAGCCAGAATTTGATCGTTTTCGAGTTTTCACAGAACTGTGTTGTGACTCATCCTCTGAATCGGTGAAAGTTTCTAGATCACTTGCATCTGATTCACTGTCATTGTTAAATTCCATAGGTTTAGCACTGATGTCTTTAGACTTTTCGGTAAGTGAGGCCTTTATTGCAGCTTGTAACTGATCATCTTCTGAAGCATCTATCACACTATCCTCCTTAAATATAAGACAAATTATTCTAAAAATTTTTATAGAGCATAAGTATTTGCAAACAAAGATATGGGATACAGAGTGAAAAATTTGCTTCCCCTTAAATTTGAAGATTCCCATCTAATAACACATTGACCGTCTTCATTTGTTTTTAACTGACACATATAAACACAAAATGAAAATGAACTGTAAAATTTTAGAAAGACGTTGGAAAACTGACCAGTCATCTGTACATAAAACAAATCAATACTGAAACAAAAAGGGGCAGAACTGTGTAGAACTAAAAATAAGTTAAAATGTATTTGCATTTAAAAATTGGTTCTTATTTTAAGCTGAAAAAGTGTTTTAACTTGAATGGAGTAATAATATCTGTCATATGTTACATATCAACGCGACTCATCTGGCACCCACCTTGCCAGAAGAAATTTCCGGTATGGGTAAAACTCACGGAAACGCCAGTCTGCTATGCAAGAAATATTTATCTGAACGTTACAAACATAAGGACCTAGCTCTTTTTTTTTTTTTAAAGAAAAAAGACATAATAAGAGCTGTCTGAGGAGCAGCAGGCTCCACTTTTACATTATTTGATAGTGAACTGATTTTTTTCCCACTTAGACAATGGAAAGGACATACTGTGACTTTCCAGCTTTATTGGTGGTGCCCTTCATGCATTATTTCAAGCACAAGTGGCCACCAGAGTAGAACCACCAACATTCAGTAAGATAACTGAATAGCTTCCTTACAGGAGAGAATAAAAAGTCCCTGATGGTATTCAAATCCAACTGGTAACGGCATTGTTAGAATTGAAGTGAATTCCTTTGTTTCTAAGAATATGGGCTTTATAACCTATAACAGGTACAAGTAACCTTGACCTTTTGACCTGAAAATGGGTGTGACAAGCAGCTCATTAAGAAGCATCTAATAGTATTGTTTGTATTAAAGTTAACAATCATAACCAAAAACTTAACCAAAATAGGTAAACCAAACGTTAACCAAAAAGTTAAACCCAAAAACTTAACCGAAAAGGTAAACAAAAAAAAATAACCAAAAAGGTAAACCAAAAAAAAAAAAATCAATCAACAAGAGGGCCATGATGGCCCTGAAATCGCTCACCTGTACATAGGCATATGTTGCATACCAAATATTAAAACTCTTGCTCTTTCTGTTTTCTATGAGAGGATTTTAAAAGTTTTTTTTCATGGAATTAACTTCTTTGAACAATTTAAAGTTGACTACCAAAGAAACATTCCTGTGAAGTTTGGCTGAAATTGGCTAAACGGTTTATGAGGAGATTTTGTTTCAAGTAAAAGTTTACGGACGGACGCCGGACAAAAAGCAAGCACAATAGCTCACCATGTCACTTTATGACAGGTGAGCTAAAAAGATTAACCAAAAAGTTAAAATAAATAGCTCAAACGGACTATGCCATCAAGTGGTCATGAAAATTGCTCCACTTTTTCTTCAAAAAGTAAAGCTAAAAATGAAATATTTTTTCAATCAAACTTTCCGATAATTATTTTAAAATGTCACTTGTAGAGCCTTTAATAATCTGATACCCACCCTTCTTACCCTTTTGGCAGCAGGTGGATCTGGGGACAAGGTATTTGTTGCTGGGTTCTGAGTCAAAAACTCTGAAACTGGAAAGAAAAAGATGCAGTCAAAATCACGAAAGCTACAAAACTAAAGAATTTCTTATGTAAGGATAAAGAAAATCTTTACAGTGTATAAAAATGTGGATCAAATTCATCAAACAGTTAATTTTCAATGTAATGTTCAACAATAGAATATTGCAGTGACATTCAATTTAACAAACGATCAACAACATTCTTTGAAGAAAATATATTTTAAGAACCTTTCAAGCTTTCAGAAAAAAAAATGGCCACAAACTTTGACAAAGACAAAAATTGTCAAAATGTAATGTTTACAAATAGATAAACTTCATTTTACATGCTTTGGATGGTAGCAGAGGCAATTCTTGCCTTTCTCTTCAATATAAAAATCTAGAAAATAAGAGAAACTTATAAAAGAAAGAAAGGAAGGAAAAAAGAAAGAAAGAAAACAGGAAGAAAGAAAGACTGCATTATATACAACAGTCAGCACTGACCCTATACTATTGTCTGCTAAGTAATTTTGGCATTTATGGTAATAAAATCCCTTTAATTATCAAAAGGCTGTTCCAAATACACAACAAGGCATGTTTGTTACAAAAATTTAGTAATGGTTAAATAGATATATAAAATTTCTCGCAATTTTAAAAACAGGGTGGGTGATTATGGTTTGTTTAGAGTAACATCAGGTCATCGATTATGACCTTGCCCATGACCTACAAGTTATTTGCTCATTTTTCAATTGAATAATACCACTTGCCAAGGAATATGCTTATTATACAAATATTCAAAGATGCTAAGAAAAAATAGAAAATGTATTTTAAATCATGGGGGCGGCCATTAGTGGGGACCCAATGTTACCGTAAACAAATGTCACACGGTCAGCTGATTAAGAAGGCATGTTACCTAGATCACAGAATGTAAGAGGTTCTATTTTACTCCAGGTGATCATATTCTCGCCTGTCTGTGGGTCCAATATAGCTACATATGGCCAGCTGTCCACTTTATAGAACTGTCGGTATTTCTGTCCTTCTACACTGTCATGATACACCTAAAATAGAACATTTGTGCAATACATTTGAGCCGCGTAACGACAAAACAAACATAATGCGTTTGTGACCAACATGGATCCAGACCAGCCTGCACCTCCGCGCAGTCTGATCAGGATCCATGCTGTTCGCTTACAAACCCTATTACAAGTAGAGAAACTGAGAGCGAACAGCATGGATCCTGATCAGACTGCGCAGATGCGCAGGCTGGTCTGGATCCATGCTAGTCGCAAACCCATTATGTTGGTTTCGTCATGACGCGGCTCATTTATTGCTTTATAAACACATGTAGGGTGTTTGGTATGTCTTATCTTTGCACTGTTTATTTATTCATATTTTTTTACCATATTAGCCATATACCAACTCTATGGTCATGTACCAGTACATTGTTATGTACCAGTACATTGTTTTTCTTTAAATAATTGCCAACTTCTTATGATAATTTGTTTTAGCCAGCAGTATTAGACAAAATTTATGGCCTTTGACAATAGTTATCAATGAAATTGTCATGGATCATCATGTGTCTAGGCCAAATTCTAAAACAAGAAGCCCAAGGTCTGCATAGCTAAGCCTAATGTAACATTCTCCATGCTAATTGGATAAGCTGGAATGTTATTTGTTTTATTAAGAAATTAAAGTCTTTTATTGACATAAAAAATAAACAAAAATACAGCAATACATATATGTTTATCTTATTATTAAATAAAGACCTCGGCATATATTCTCCCATGACCTACCTTGGTAAAGTACCCTAATGTTGGCATCACCCAAACTGTTGCAGTCTCAAATATATCTGCACTGGTCACAAAATTTGAATGGTCTCAAAATGTTATCAAAGATATCAACTTGACTTAAAGAAATGAATTCGGCCAAAATAATGAAAAATTTCATTTCAAATTACCTGCCAAAAAATGAAATTATCCTTGATTAATGCTTTTACGGCCGAGTTACTCCACACATCTCTGTTGAGTGCCTGACATGGGAACTCTTGTACATTCTGTATATTCACCATTAACCATTTGCCCTGAGTTTTACCAGTTTCTCTTGCCTGTCAACAAAAAGAATTACTACTGTATCACAAACATCGGTTTTCATACTAACCGAAACATGAATCCATTCTCTCAGTTTGAAGGAGAATTTTATAATATCTAGAAGTAACCTTGTGGTTATCACACAATTATGATAAAAGAGCTGTCATTATGATAAAAGAGCTGTCCATAAGACATAACACTAAACTACACAGAAATAAATGGGATGTAACACTGTGAAAAGAGAACTATGCCTATCATTTAAGATAATCACAGAGAACAAGTGCCTAAAGTTTCGAACAAATGGCTTACAAACTTCCAAGTAAAACCACTGACCCAAAAAGCTAACTATTGAAAGAATAAAACAATATGTTGCTGTACTCAAATCCACAGCAGTGACAGTGGGACAAGTGGTTTAAGGTCATGACCCGTTACCAATCTGCCAAGTATACTCTTTTAAATTTAATAAATGAACAAATATTCACATTTGCTAGATTGCCTTTGTAAGTTATATCTATTGGAGGTCTGAAAAGGTCCTGTAATGTTTTGGTTTTCCTAGAAGATCTCGATCCTGATGCCCCAGCCATCAGCTCTTCCTCTTGTTGACCTGAAATATAACAAGCAATAAAGATCAGCATTTCACATTTGAGCCGAGTCACGACAAAACCAACATAATGGGTTTGCGACCAGCATGGATCCAGACCAGGATGGGCAGCTGCGCAGTCTGATCAGGATTCATGCTGTTCGCTATCCGTTTCTCTTCTTGTTATAGGGTTTGTAAGGGAACAGCATGGATCCTGATCAGACTGCGTGGATGCACAGGCTAGTCTGGATCCATGCTGGTCGCAAACCCATTATGTGGGTTTAGTCGTGGCGCGGCTCATTTTAGTATAACTAAAATCAAGCATTTCAGATATGAAAATGACAAATGAGTAATGCGCTTCTTAGGTCTGATTAAAATATGCAATTTACATTTTTTGGTATAATACTTTTGATTAAGATAACTGACTCACATGATGATTCACATTTTTAGTTTTGATAAAACTAAGTGATCCACATTTTGGTATTAATAAAAATAACTATTAACATTTTAGTTATTAATACAATAGAATATGCAATTCACATTTTGCACCTTAAAAATAAGTGATTCACATTTTTGCTATTGATGAAAATAAGTGATCAACATTTTGGTATTGTGTATTGATGGATGCTAGGGGACAGAATATTGTTTTTTCCGGGACAATGGGGTTGAAATGTTATTATTTTAGCATCTTTTTCAAATATGTAAAAACAATCTTGTTATGTGAGAAAAGTATCACACTTCTTCCCCACAAGCATTTACCAGCTTCTCATTATTATTGAAAGGTAATAAAATACAAAATTTAAAGATCATGTGGCATAGTGCCAAGATGCAAAATCAAATTTTTAAAGATAGTTATTAGCTCTATCATTATCAAAAACATCAATAGAAACAAAATGGCAACATCAATATGCCAGAATTTAACTGATAAGTCATAGAATATCAAAACATGTATTATAATCAAACTAAGTAACGCAAAAGTAAACAAACTGAATCAAGAAACAGAATTGATATACTTTTTCTTCTCCCTCTTCCTGTTGCTGAAAACAAATCACTTTACTTTTTTTCTACTGCTTTTAACAAATTTAACTGCACATTTTAATATGCAAAATTCCTTACATAGACTTTTACAGCTTCCATTTCTAAAACTGTCCATAGCCATAACCAGTATTGCGGGTACTCAGATGAAAATTGAAAGTATGTCAGCTAACATTTAAGAGCCTGTTCAGGCAACATTACTTCACAATTGTCAGGTAAATATCTTGCAATCAAACTGGTACAGAAGGTGGTGGTTTATATTGTAAAATGTGTTCCAAAACAATAAGAAAGACAAAAAGCCAAATACTTCAAATATTAGAACTGAAAATTCTTAAATTTAAAAGTAAAGAAAAGGCTGTCAGTAGGACAGCTGCTGGACTTTTTTCAAAGCTTGATAGTAAAACAAGAGCCTGGATAATGTGAATTTTTAAAGTTAAAAAAAGGGCCTTCATTCCCAAAAAATCCATGTCAGAGTTAGCCTTGGTCAGTGACCTCCTACTATGTTCTCAAATAAGTGTGAGCCGTTTCAACCCATTGGCCATTCCCATCAGTTGTTATGTAGATACCAACTTGCAGGCAAAAACTTAAGTGTGACGACAACGTCTACTCTCTCTGTTCTATTAATAGTAAAGCTTAAAACAAAAATAAAAAACTTACGAGCTTCTTCCTGAAAATCCCTGAATCCATCAAACACAGATCTTGTTTTTCTTTTCCTTCCTCGAAATGTTCCTGTAATACAGTACAAAGTAACATATTATCACTTTAGTGCAATAACAGGTTAACTCCTTTTGAATTTCATAAGGAGATAACTTCTTACCCCTTTACAGTGACAAATAATAGCTCATTAGATGATCTACTACTAATGAAGCAATCAAATTTGTCACAGAAAGTGTGTAAATTAAATTCATTTTATTACTGATTAATATACAATGTCTATACAAGTAAACTTTTTATGTTTTGGCAGGAGGTCCTTCCTGGACAAGAGATTAATTACAGTAGAGGACATCCAATCACTTGTTCCTTGTTGATGTGGGTTCGAATCCTATCAAAGACTAAACAGATTATTTTGTGTGAAGAAATTCTCCATGTAGCAAACAGGGGATTTGTGGTGCCTATTAATTTCTTCTGCATTTCTTGAAAAAAAAAAACAATAAAAGTTTCCCTCCATCACTCCAGTAAAACTTAATATCACTCTTGACCCTTCATAAATGTTGGTGTAATTAAAAACACAACAAAGAACATAAGACCTTGGAATCTTCATAGTGCTTAAAAATAGTTTCATGGCTTTTTTTGAAGTACATTTCACTTAGAGATCTCAATACTTAATTCCAAAAAATTTAGCAGGTTATAATATATATAGTCTGATTAATATTGCAGTACTTTACCATATACTGGAGCATCATCCACCAATGTTTCCTGAATTTGGGGAATGGGAGCCCTTACTTCATCACTGTAAGATGGATAAAAACATGGTTAAAAATATTTACATTAAAACGTTCATTTTGAGATTCCCACTTGCAACCTAAGCTCAAAGTTATTTAGAGGTTACCACTAATACAGAACCATACGGTTCCCTGTCTGCACACTGATACAGCCTTGCATATCTGCACAGCCTAGCAAAGCTCTACACTATTGCCTACCAATTTTTGACAGGTTCTGTACTAAACAAGACCAATACACAACAATTAACACAAAGAAATTTTCAGATACAAATAACAAGAATAAAACTATGATAATAATGTTATAACTTGAACACATTGCAGTGTTTTTTTTTCACCAAAATATTCGGCGAAATTCGGCCCCATTCCCCCCTCAAAATAGTATGTTTTTTTCCCTCTCAAAGCCAAATTTTCCCCCCATATGGCAGCCAAAATTTGCCTGCAATGAATACCATTTTTTTTGCATATAACTGCCGAATAATGTTTTATTTTAAGCCTGTAAGACTTACTGTTAAGCAAAATTGTTTACAAATTGTTCCCAGGTATAAAAGGGGAGCTACTCACGGCTTCCTAACAAGTTTAACATGCGACACTTTAAATTCTGCTGTCAATATTTTAGATCCGTATATTAAGAAAATGTGACGTATTTTAAACTTGTGTTGCTAGAGTTGCTCCCCTTTTCTACTCACCGGAAAGAAAACAATGTCGAACAAAAGTAAATCTTACAGTCATTGTATACACACCGGTCTCTTAAATATCGTTGTACACAATGATCTTACAGTGTTAAGTGGTGTATTAAAATATGCATTGGATTCGTTTTTGTTTCTCCTCATTTGTGAAGAAATAAAATTCCCCCTCCTATTGCATTTTTCCCCCTCCAAACAGCAAAGACCCCCTTCCCCCAAAAGTGAAAAAAAACACTGCATTGTTTTTTTACATTTCTAAAATTAACTCAATAATGAAAATATAACATGAGCTCTTACACTGCATTAGATGCACCAGCACCACTACCACCACCTTCCATGTGCATATTGATAGCCAGCTCTAAATTTCCTCCACATGCTTCTAACAACTGCCTACCCATGGCAGCATCTGCTCCTGTAACACAAATCGTACAAGTGTATATATTGTGATGCTCAACTTTAAGCTACATCTTATCATTACACTTCTCACAATGAAAATATAGATTAACTTTCAGGTCCTTCAAAAAAGGCCGCCCTTTGGGGCATACAAAATTTTAATTTATAATTAACAGAACAATTTACTGTGGTTGACGACAAAGTTTACAGGTATTTATTTGACATATATCAATGATAATGTTGGTGAATAGCTGTTTAAGTTCTTTAACTTATTTCTGTGAGAAATAAAAAGAAAAAAAAGAAGAATATTTTCTTTCTTTTTTTTTATTCAGTATCATTTTTACATTTTCTGATTATTTCCCGCGATCTGAGTTTGTCGCCAACTCCATTCCGTGACGTCACTGGATTTTGATTCCAGGAGAATAATTAATATTTATTAAAATTATTTTAAACAAGTTCCAAAAATTACAGTTATTTATTCAACATTTATACAAATTATTCTATTATGTAAAACCTTTTTAACAAATTTCTTTTATAAATAAATTTGAAAAGGGAAACCCCAAACAAGAATGGTAGATCTTTGAAATAGTACTTTCGTTTAAAAAAAAAAAAGTATTTGAGTACTCTATTTAATGTGACCAGGGTCTTTCAAAAAGAATGGTCTGGAAACATACTATGTAAACCCTTCTCGCTATAATTAAACATGTCTCGGTATAAATCGGTATAATTTGCTATAAGCAAATCATGTAAGTGTTCAAGAAAAGGGCAATTATTAAATACAAGAGCAAAAATGAAAATTTTAATGACATGATGTTATTTAAAAATCTTTAAACTTTAGAACAAAAATTTGTAACAAAGTTACCAACTTCCCCCGCCCAGGGAAGTTTTATATGCAGCATAAAATTGTGCTGTTTCAAAAGATTGAGGTATGGATCTCAGGACATTCAGTCCAAAATTATGATCAATGCTAGATCTGCAAATGCAATAATAAATTTGTTAAAAAAATAAAATGAAACACAGAATTTAAAAATCTATCATGTTAAGCTGTGACCTCTAAGTGTGACCTTGACCTTGGAGGTAGGGGAGCAGGTGTTGTGCATGACATAACATCTTATTATTGAGACTATTTGTGCCAAGTATTTTCAAAATCCCTTGAACTATGAAGAAGTTATAGATTGGACACAAACTATACCCTTTAACAGACTATGTAAATCTTTGACCTCTAAGTGTGACCTTGACCTTGGAGGTAGGGACACAGATGTTAAGCATGATATATCATCTAATCGTTGTGACTATTTGTGCCAAGTATTTTCAAAATCCCTTAAACTATGAAGAAGTAATGGAGGGGACACAAAATATACCAAAAAACAGACTCTGTTAATCTTTGACCTTTAAGTGTGACCTTGACCTTGGAGGTAGGGGTGCAGGTGTTGTACTTGACATATCGTCTTATTATTGTGACTCTTTGTGCCAAGTTATTTCAAAATCCCTTAACTTTGAAGGAGTTCTAGATCGGACACAAAATATACCCTATAACGGAATATGTTAATTTTTGACCTCTAAGTGTGACCTTGACCTTGGAGGTAGGGATGCAGGTGTTGCGCATGACACATCCTCTTATTATAGTGACTGTTTGTGCGAAGTATTTTCAAAATCCTTTGATCTATGAAAAAGTTATGGACCGGACACAAAATATACCCTGTAACAGACTATGTGAGTATTTGACCTCCAAGTGTGACCTTGACCTTGGAGGTATGTGACCGGTTTTTGCGCATGACACATCGTCTGATTATTATGAACAATTACAGCAAGTATTTACAAAATTCCTTCATAGATAAGAAAGTTATGGACCGGACACAGCATATACCCTCAAATAGACAATGTTGACCTTGAATGAGCAAGTGCGACCTTGACCCTGGAGGTAGGGGTCTGGTTGTTGAGCATGACACATCGTCTTATTATAACAAACATTTGTGCCAAGTTATTTCAAATTCCTTTCATAAATGACAAAGTTATGGACTGGACACGAAAGTGTGACTGACGGACGGACGTCCGGCCGAATTGGAATAAAGGGCCATTTCTTTTGTTATTTTCTATTGTTTAATAGAGGGCCAATGGCCCCTTACTCTATTGTTACGGAACGAACTCTATTGTTCTCTTTTGTTCTGTTTACAGTTAGATAGCCCTCTATCCCTATTCGGTAGTGCGGGCAGACAGACGGACGGTTTTCCGTTTCTTTTAAATATAGAAATATAAATACTAAAACATCACAATATTATATATATCTACATTATTAAATTGTTTTCCAAAAATAATTTCAATATTCATTGAATGGTAAGTAAAAATCATTAGCATTATACATAATTGCAGTGGGTGGGGTAATATGGTGATCTTGCGATGAGAGTTACATATCAGAATCATGCTAAACCTTGGAACACAACATGAGCATTATAGAGGGGTTGAAGTGAAGTTCAAATCAACTGCAATATGTGGCTGTTTAACATTGAGCAAACATTACAAAATTCATTGATTTTGGTACAGTCCAACAAGATCGGTTTTGTTCTTTTTATTTGTTGATTTTTACCAACACTAGTCTGACATTCAATTATTTTCAAGCACATTAATTTAGTAGCGAGTATAAGCACTTTTTAAGCACTTTTCAAGAAAGTAATCAAATTCAAAGACTTTTAAGCACTTTTTATCATTTTTAAGCACTTTTTAAAATTTAAGAAAGGGACTGAAATTTAAGCACTTTTTAAGACTGTACGAACCCTGTATAATCTATTTGAAAGACCCTGTTGTGACCCAGCAAATAAATTCAGTCATATTGTAAGAAAGAATTAGTCATTTGTTCTAGTTTGACAGTATTTTACCTGCAAACTTGTTATTTTTGGAACTGATTATAAATAATTTTATTAAATATTATTCTCCTCAAATCAACATCCAGTGACGTCACAAAATGATGTCGGCAACAAACTGAGATTGTGGGAAATAATCAGAAAACATTGAATTATTCCTACAAAGCTACACGGTTAAAAAAAGTTATCGGTGGTATTTGATGCATTTATGTATTGTTTATCGAAAAGGCCCGATAGATTATTTTGATCCGTTGTTTTATTGATTTGTTCGGGGTAAATTATGTTTGGGGTGGGAAAAGGCGTTTCATTCCTTGTGTTTATTATATCCCAACATCGGGTATATTCTGGATATTATCATTAATACTGATAGAATTTCAAGTTCCTGTGATCTCGATAACATTATGAAGTTGACAATTTCTGCAAACGAGTACACTTGGATTAAAGCTTTTTTATTCACCAAAAGTCATGAATTTATTTGTTTATTAATGCGTTGCAATTGTCATAAAAGTATTTGAACTTGTTTACTTAATGATTGAGTGAAATGTAAAGAAAAATCTGATCAAACAAAAAACATATCCGAAAATGAAAATATCATCCGAAAATCATTTCACATAGTTTGTTTATGAATGAGATCAAACGAACTTTTTGCAAAATGCAACCAAATTTCTAAATAGGGCTCATAAAAACACAGGATAAATGATGTTTTACCTGTAACAGAACAAAACTGAGCGAGCACAGACTCAGATGTGTTCCCTGTTTTGTCCATTTCGACGGTTCGCGCAATCGACCAGACCGAGGCTGTCGAATTCTTTGGGTTACTTCCCTTTGAGTATAAGATTACAACTGTTCCACGTTCCATATACCGTAAAGATTATAAGCCTATCACTTTAAACAGAGATGTAGATAACATTTTAAATGTTTTAAATAGCCTGCATTTGATACTGATGGCATATCTGAGGCGGTACGTTACGATACCGAAATCAATCAACTTGATTTCGGTGATGTTACCGAAATCAACTTTTCATTACCGAAATCAACTTATAAAATCACAATATAACAGTAATTAAGTGTTTTATTATATGTTTTTCATTATATAATATATTACAATAGGTTAAGTTTGACTTTCATGCAAAAAATCAGTTCGAAATAATTATTTATAATGAAATTAGAAACAAATAACTAAACATCAAGATTACTTCCCTGATTTTTGTCACGAACCGAAATATTTGTACCATACAGTACCGAAATCGGCTTGTAAAAGTTAAAATAAACATTTTAATCGGTATAGATGGATACCGAAAATAAGCTATTTTCGCGAAAATAAGATCGCGGCTACGAAAATAAGATTTATTTTTTAAATAGTGCATTTATCTGTTGAAATAATTATGTAAAATATATATTTATGCATTCATTGAATGAATTAACAGCAAATTAAAATTTCAGAACCAAAAAAATATTTAAAAAAGTGCAGTTTGAGCCGAAAATACTATCGTACGAAAGCTAGCTGAAAGCGAAAATAAGATCGGGTCTACGAAAATAAGATTTATTTTTGATAAAATGTATTGAAAAATGTATTTTTATTGTTATTAAATAATTTGCATGAATGAAATAATAAAGAATGAAGTATTTTGTAATGAAATATTAGACGTTTGTGCGGCATACATGGTATAGAAAGTATAGAAAGAAGGCATGCGAAAATAACCCAAGAATAAGATAGATAATAACTTATAAAATTATATTGTATTACTTGCAAATAAGATTGTAAATTCAATCTTCTCTTATAAGACAAGAAAGGGTAGTGGTGAAAAGTTATCAAAATAAAAGCAAGAATAAGCTAGTGCAAAAATAATTAAAAACAACGACTACAAGTTTAAGATCTACTGCATATATAGAATATGTACGAAAATAAACATCTATACTGTACTGTACAGTACTCCACGAAAATATGATCCGTAAGTTTGAAAATTATGTACATACGAAAATAAGACCTGTTCGTAAAAAATACCTGTATGAAAAGTAATATCTGTATGAAAATACTACATGTACGAAAATAAGATCCAATTGATGATCTATACGAAAGTAAGATCTGTAAACAATTAAAATCCATACTGGTATATATGAATTGAAATTTGTACGAAATAAGATCTAATTGAAAATATGATCTATGCAAAAATAAGATATATATACGAAAATGAGCTTTGTTAAAAAATAATACCTGTATGAAAATACTATGTATGTACGAAAATAAGATCTGTAAAAACAATTACTGCATGAATTGATATATCTGCACGAATATAAGATTTACTCGCATACGAAAATAAGATCTCTGCAAAAATAAAATCTGTATGAGACTAAGCTTTTTACAAATATTTTTTATAAGATCTGTGAATATGAAATTTGCATGAAAAAAAAATTCCTTACGAAAATAAGATCTAAACGAAAATAATACAAATGTATTAAATATGAACATAATATCTGTTTCAGAATGATACGAAAAAGAGATCAAAATCTGTAAACAATTAAGATATCTATATGAAAATAAGATATCACTATGGAAATGAATTTTAGCAATATAAAAGATAATTGAAGATACGTGTAGATTCTAATATGGAAATAATATCTATATTAAGTAAAAGAAAAGTATATAACTTTATTGCTTTAAGTGCTTTAATTAGATAATGCATAAACAAGATATTTCTATTTGAGGGAAGGAAAAAAATGACACAACGTATGACACGTGCACATGACTGTCGGCAGCAATCAATGCGCTAATACGATGATTGGATTATTGGTTCTTCGCACTTATCGTAATTGACACACACTTATTAAAGCCCTTCATTAAAGGTGTTTATTGGCGATTTATCATTGTCACCAATCATATCAGATTTTCATATAGATATCTTATTTTTTACAGATTTTAACAGATTTTGTTATCAAAAATTAAGACAAATTTTTACACAGATCTTATTTTCGTTAAAGATCTTATTTTGTAAAGACATTATTTTCATAAACAGTCGTTTTTCATATCATTCTGATAAAGATATTATTATCATACAAATATTATTTTCGTATAAGTCTTATTCCTATACAGACATTATTTTCGTACAGATCTTAATTATTTTCGTATAAATCTTATTTTCAGAAGGATTTTATTTTTACAGAATTTACTTTCGTAAAAATCTTAGTAAAAAACAGACATTATTTCATACAGATCTTATTTTCATATAGATCTTATATTCGTGCGTATTATTTTCTTACAGATCTTTTTTTTTTTTTTTTTTTTTTTCGTATAGATCACATTTTCTATAGGATCTTATTTTCGTATATACAGTATTTTCATACAGGAATTTTTTTACATATATTATTTTCATATGTATCTTATTCTCGTAAGGATATTATTTTCATGCAACTTTCATTTTTACAGATCTTTCAATTGTAAAAATCTTAGTCGAATACAGACAGATCTTATTTTCGTATAGTTTTATTTTCAATAGGATCTTATTTTCGTACATATAGTATTTCCATACAGATCATATTCTCAATTATTTTTGTACGAATATCAATGCATACAGGTTTTGACTTTGAATTGTTTACAGATCTTAGTCCACTTTTGTCTAATCTGTATGTACATTTGATTGACAAATTTGAACCTGCATTTTATCCTGATAATTTATTCATTAAATCCTACAGACAAAATTTATCTCGTATTAGATTATCTTCTCATAAATTAAAGATAGAGGCAGAGAGGTATGGTCCTAATAGAAATCCACGTTCTGAAAGAAAATGTGAATTATGTAATCTTCAAGAAATTGAGGATGAATTTCATTTTATTATCATTCGCAATTGTTATACTGCATTACGTAGGGAGTTCATTAAGCCATATTTTTTCAGAAGGCCGAGTATGTTTAAATTTTTGCAGCTTTTGAAGTCAAATTAATTGGACTTGCTAAATACATCATCTTTGCTACTAAGCGTCGATATGACCTTATTAATATTACCATTAAAAGACTATTTTTACCAGTATGCGCTTGATAATTTTGCTCATTAAAAAGCGACAGTATGGTATTTATCATGTAATTTTAATCGTTGATTCACTACATATTAAATATATGAAAGTCATTTTTGCAATTTTTTAATAAGAGTAAACTTTGTATTGTTTAAATATGGATTTAAGAACATTCTCCATAAATACTTTTGTTTAACAATGTTTGTTTTCAATATGATCGTACCATGACTTATGATTTATGTATAACGTGTTTTTTATTGTGACTATGTACAAATATGTATACGTCAATAAATTATATCTATTCATCTTATTTTCGTACATGTAGTTCTTTCACAAATAATAAATAATTTCATACAGGTATTAACTATTTACAGCAAGATCTTATTTTGGTATATACCTTTTTTCGTATGAACATTACTTTCATACAGCTTTTATTTCCTTACAGATTTTATTTTCGTAGAGTACTGTTATGATTTTATTTTCGTACGATACATATTCTTATATAGATCTAGATCTTATTTTCGTAGTCGTTGTTTCAGGTTGTTTTTGCAATAGTTCTTTTTTTTTATTTTGATACTTTTTCACCACAAACATTTTTTGTCTTATAAGAGAACATTTCATTCTTAAAACTTATTTGCAAAATCATTAAAAGTAAAGTTAACACTATTTTAATATAAGTTATGAACCATGTAAATCTTATATATATTTTCGTAGATGCCATCTTGGTTAAATATGTTCATGCGTTCTTACTATAGTAAATTTGGAATATTTACCATATTTGCCGCACAAACATCTAGTATTTCATTACAAAATTTTTTATTCATTAATATTTCATTCAAACAAATCATTTAATAACAGCAAAAATAGTTTTTGATTCATTATATCAAAAATAAATATTATTTTCGCAGACCCGATCGTATTTTCGATTTACACGGCAATTTAAGCTATTTTCATACGACAGTATTTTCGGCTGAAACTTCACTTTTTTAAAATATACTTTTAGTTCTGAAATTTATTATTTCATTCATACAAATCAATTGTTAAGAAACAAAAAAATACGTTTTTAATACATTATATCAAAAAATAAATCTTATTTTCGTAGACCCGATCTTATTTTCGCTTTAACAGCAATTTTGAGCTATTTTCGTACGATAGTATTTTCGGCTCAAACTTCACCTATTTAAATATTTTTTTGGTTCTGAAATTTTAATTTGCTGTAAAATCATTCAATGAATGCATAAATATATATTTTACATAATTATTTCAACAGATAAATGCACTATTTAAAAAATAAATCTTATTTTCGTAGCCGCGATCTTATTTTCGCGAAAATAGCTTATTTTCGGTATCCATCTATACCCCATTTTAATAGATCTTGTTAATTAATTGATATAAAGTCATTCAAACTGAACCATAAACAAAGGAAAATAATAATTAATTATAAAAATGATGATGTTATACTAGACGAATATGTATATTATATAATGATTATTAATGTGTTGCATTACCGAATTCAAATCAGATTTCATTTCAAAGATGAGAACAACCCCTAAAAAATTTGCATGGATTTCAGAAATAGTTGATTGGAAATTATCACAGTATTTAATTTAAATCCAATGATTATAATTTGATTAAAATAAAAAGACGTAGAGGTAGCCATTCATATCATAACACCTAAAGTTACTAATAATTAAGGAGCAAGCATACACATGGAAAATCTTACTTTAAAATAGCGGAATTAAATAGTACAAACAGCTTAGGCGTCGGTATCTTTATTAATACGTCTTGTAATTGTAAAATTTTAGAATATTTATATTAGAAG